CGGACCTCATAAACCTAACGATCACTGAATCGGCCAGAGACAGACGAAACGAAAATTGGAGAAGGTGGGTGTTTGGAATTTTGCGAGGTGGGGGGAGAGGGGGCTGTCACTCCATTTTCCAATATACCAGGGCCTAGGGCCTTTTCTCCGGTAAAGTATACAGTTACAGTCAGTTTAATTACCCGATATGATCAAAACCACCTCCGGTCGAAATTGTGGTATGCTAATCACAGATATCACTCGGATCCGGTTTCGTGTGCTTGCCGAGATAGAACCAAGATTCGGAGTGATTTGATTTATTCATAGACACCTCCCACGCCCGCAGGTCATGGGATAGGGCAAATCGCAAAGTGGTGTCATGACACGATTCATGTACCTATCTATGTCCGGACACGTACACGGTCTCATTGGTATTTGAAAAGCCAGATATCCAGCGGTACCAATATACAAGAGATGGATTATCTCTTTGATTTCAAGCGCTGAATCTCATTCTTGCCCATTATCTCTCGTGGAGTAGAGGGCTAATCTTCTGTTTTTAACCTTGTTTGAGAATCGAGTGATAAGCTGTGCAGAAGGGCTTGCGGGCATGGTGCTTGCTGGTCCGAATTCAACACCAAATATACGGAAATTTCTTGTCGGGGATCACCTTCACGCATGGACCTGGTATTTTTGTGGCGGCTCACCGGTTTACAGCCCTTTTCAAGACTCAAATAGCTGGAAACAAGACGCTCAAGCCGGACAAGTCTCGTCTCGCTAAAGGGAGCACGTATTGTTCTTTCTGCCTTGTTATCACAAACACGCATTACGACCACTAGTATGAATAAGGTAATTTAACCCCGATTACTTTCTACCGCTGTGATTTATCATGACAATTGACAAGAATATATGCAAATGGATTGTCAGAAAACCAATTGAGTTACGATAATAACAGTCAGTCACCCTGGGCAGTACTATTATCACATGTAAGGCAGCAACTAGGGAGAACTATCAAGTACAGCAGCGATCAGCCGAGCATTCTCAAAATACTTGACAGCATATTATATGCTGTACGTTTCACTATCAACAATTGTGGAGCCGGATTTGGTCTGATATTACTATTCGCATGTCTCGCCCGCGTACAGATCGGCAGCCTTGTGTGTCAGCTGCCCCAGTCCTCATAGGCTTGCCCTCGTGGCTAGCTTGGACCTAGTTATTGGGTACGGGATGATAGAAATGGGACGAAACTGTAGATGGTGATCTCGAGTTCTACTATACATACGTCGGAGAGCTAGCCTATCAGGCACTTGGGGTGTATACATCGACCACCTCTTGGGCAGAATAGAAACTTTAGGCCAACGATCAATTTTGAAAATTGCTATATATTTGCCACCCAGCAAAACGGTTCCCGCAACTAGCAGTTTTGAACCTATTTTTGTATGGGGATCGACATGGAACCATCAATTTTGCTACCCGCAACCATCAATTTTGCAACCAGCATTTTCAAAATTGATGGTTGGCCTAAAATTTCTAATGAGGAAGGAGGATACAATTTATACGGGTGGTTGCCAAGTTGCCTGGCTGAGGAATATTCACTGTTAGAGAAATGATCGGTGTGAACCAGCTAGGCAAGCAGAATCTGAGCCAGATGTTGCTGGGAGATATCGTAACTGCGAGTCTACAAAAACAGTTCTAGCACGTGTAGAGATATAAACCGTTAAAACTTGAGGACTTTCACATCTTAATGAATTATGCATCTTGTGGGACAAAGTCTGTTGAAACCTCAAGGCGTCTTTGCATCGCAATTGCCTTTGTGTTCAGAGTTTGTCATTTCAGGCAGAGCTATTGAAGATTCTTCAAGGTGCGGGCAGCTTCTAGGATTCCACGCGTATGTATAAGAAACCACCGCAGGCCCAGCACTAAAAAGAAGCAAACGGATACCAACTAGGCAGTTGCATGCAGCAATTGACTAATAAATAATTAACTCATGTGTAGTAGGTAGAGGTACATTTCCCGTATACGACAAAATCCCCCTTACAGCATGCGCCAAAGTGTCATTACCAAAATCAGACACCCGTTTTTCCTGCAGTCATGTCAGTCGTACAAATAAAAGCACTTGTTTTATGCTGAAATACGGGACCAATCAGTACCATCTTTTCTGTCGTTGGGATTAGAACCCCATGATTTAGGAAAGCTTCCGTGACCTAGAGTGAGCAAGTGGGGCTACTTGAGGCAAAGTGCAATAATCCCCCCACAAAGCACAGGGTACGGTAGACAGAGAGTCTAGCCCCACGATCCCGTTCTCGACCCGCCAGGTCCCTGAAAATTTAAGTTTTACCTGCGGCTCCGCGTGGGGGGAGCGTGAGGATCTATTCTTGGCAGCAGGGGCGAGCCGCGACTCATCTAACGTCACTCGTCAAACCTCAATTGAATTTTCAAAACCTCCGAAACAATGAAGCTCCTACTCCGTCTCGGCAGCAGGGTCTCGGCCCGTTCCATGATCCCAAGACTTCCCCAATTGGCGAGGACGAGGGCATTCACAATATCACACAGCACCTACTATGCACGGAAGGTTCCGCACCGCGCTGCTACGCTGAACAAATTCCGGCAGCAGGAGAGCATAGCGAGCATCAGCCACACCGAGGAAATTGACTACGATGCGCTGCTCGAGGAGAAGCTCATGCAGAATGCAGAGGCGTTGGAGAATGTTACGGATGAGCAGCTGGCGGTACTTGACTACTCCCCGCCTGCACGCCCACCGCCATCACCACCGCTGACATGAAAAGTAGTACTGGGACTCGGAAGGGTTTGGAAAGCTGCTCTCGGAGTGCCCGGCGATAGCGCTCAATATTCAGGTCCCTCCTGGAGCACCCGTAGCGGAGGTGGACGACGAGATGGCGGCGGACCTGGCGGTAGAGCTGTATTTCGCTGGGTATCTGGCGGAGTTGATGCAGTCGCTGGACGCGCAGGAGAGGTTTGCGGAAATGATGACGAAATTGATCGAGGAGTCGATCCCGGTTATCAAGGAGGGATTAAGAATTGGCTGGTTGGCTCCGGGTAGGTTTCCCTCTGTGTGTGGTTTTTTTTTTTTTTTTGTGGAAATCTTTGCTGATCTAGGGTTGCCGGAGTAGTGGATAAGAAAGTGGCTGCTGTACTGGATAGTGGGGCATAATTGTGCTTGCTATGGACGGACTTGAGTTGTGGTGTTCCGACTCCTTTTAGTGGCTACTACTTCAAAGTCTCAGGAATGCCTTTGAATAAAAACACTTGGTAGTTATTAGACACCAGTACTTCCAGAAACTATTCGGGATACAGGAAAATATGAGGTATCAAATCCTGGTTGAACACCGGAAAGATAAAATACCCACATTGTAATGGGATGGTTGCTATCTGCCTACATATCATGAAGGCAAGCACGCATTGAAAGTTTGAAACCGAATATCTGGAAACCATAAACTGAGCACTCTGGGGCTCCTCATGCAATCCTCCCCAACAAGTTACTGCGTATTGGGATCCCATGGTGATGTTCTTCCAGATGATGTAGGAGGATAATAGCATGTAGATTCGTCAGTCGTCAGTCATTAGGCACCATTGCCCACTCCTCGTGATAACCGGGGAGAACAGAAACGCCAAATCGCAGAAAGGGTCCCGCAACCACATATGATCCGCCGAGGAAGAACCTTACGTTCTCATACTGTAAGGAATACCTCTTCGGGGGATCAAGGAGATAATAATGATAAAAATGCCTCAACAAATCAATCAATCAACAAAAATACCCCGTGAGATTCAATGAATTAAATAAAAAAAAACGTGTGATTCCGTAAACTACCGAGTGATAATTTATGATGCACACACCAACCGGCCAAACAAGTGTAGTTAAAAACACCGTCCACATATACGATAAGTAGCACGACAAACCCCAACACGGCTGAGCCATGTATGATGATGGACCACAACACACGACCAACCCTAACACAAACCGGACGTAGGTTTGAATCGTATATACACCGATTGGCCAGCGGTAACACCTTCGCCATCTCGATCCTAGTAACTAAAACCTCCCTCCGGGGACACAGGCCACAATTCAAATGCCTGGCCATCCCCCACAAGCGGGGTGGGTTTTTGGGGAGGGACGATAACTAGGGCCGAGTATCACAACCCGTTTATCGTAGGAGCGCAAAGAACACCAAAACACAAGATCCAACTCTCGATCTCTACACACAAGCTTATAATTAAGCACCACCCTACCACAATACCACCATACCACCGTAGCACCGTAGCACCAACGAGAAACCCCGCTGCTGCGACCCTTGAATCCAAATATTGCTATGGCCGGCCCCGCGGCGGGATTTGTGGCACCACGTGCAGCGGAGAAGGGGTCTTTGTTTGGTACTTTCCTCCGGCCGGGCTCGGCGCGATGAAGGGTACAAGATGTGTGAGCTCTCGGAGCCATAGTGTAGAGCACCTTTGGCATCGCCGGTGACCCCTTCTGCTAGAGGTGACTGTCTACAGCCCTAACCCTGGAGTGTTGGTGGCTGCATGTACCTATATGACTGTGTTCGGCGTTTGAGGTTGGTATGTTGCTTTGGAATGTTGCGAGTGCAGGATGGGCTTGGGTGGTGTTGGGCTGGGAGTGCTGGGTGGAGATAAGTTATTGCAATGCGAATTGCGGGATTTTGACATGAGATGGGTCCCCCCGAGTATGTGCAGAAACCGATCCGCAGACGCACCTCGAGAACGGCGACTGTTTGTCTCCAGACCGGGCTCTGGAGTTGTGGTTAATGGTAAGTAATATCGATTATGCGTATTAAACCGGTGCTTCTAATGCTACATATAATCTACGTCTATAAATGAATAAATGGGAAATGCAAGGAAAGAAAGAGAACCATGCACCCAATATTCCACAAACATGCATCATTCACCCCATATATCCGATTTGCAGAACCCCCCCCCCCCCCCCCCCCAATAAAAAAGTCTCTCAAACAAAAATCAAAAGACGCTGATACTCATGCGAATCATGCACATCACAATCCCTTGATGGGATGCATAAACACACCCTTCAAACACATCCTCCCGCGCTCCCTATCCCACGCCTCTCCACCATCGTTATGCGCCTCCCCGCCCAACCACCGCGTCCACAGCACTGCCGGAAAGCCCGAGACGTAGAACCACGTACTGCCGAGAAAGTTGTACTGGTTCGCCTCGCCAAACACGGTCTGGCCGCCGTAGACACCCATGTTGAATGTCTTCTCGAGATGCTCGGCGGGCCACTGTCGGTCGATGTAGGTGGGGTGCGGGACAAAAACAGCCTTGAGGCCGTGCTGGAAGGCGCATGATGCGGGCCACATCTCGGAGAACATGGTGTGGCCCTGCACGGCGTTCTCCCAGTGCATGCGGTTGAGGAGCCGCCGGGAGAGGCGGGAGATGGCGACGATTGCGGTGCGACGGGGCGGGCCGGTGGGCGTTCCCGGGGGTGGTGGGGAAGGCTCTTTGAGGCGGTCTTTGCGCGGGTCTTGGTTGTAGCGGTAGGAGGCTTCTGTATAGGTTCCATAGCCGGTGGTGTCGGGACTGAGACCCCAGTCAGTGCCCTCGGGGTCGAATATGGGGTTCATTGTGAGGAGATCGGCGTCTTCGCCGACTCCCCATTCTGCGTTTACGTCCTCTTCAGCCGTTGCGAAAGGTGGGACGGGGTCGTCGGGGTGAATGGTGACTGTCTCGACTTGCGGTGGGCCCCAGATGCTAGAGTTTTTGGGTATAGTCTTGGAAATTGTTTCCGAGAAGTTGGCGTAGCTGCCGTGAACTTCGGGAATATAAAAGCGTTCGTTACGCTCCCAAAGGTGCTTACGTGGCTGCTTCTTCGCCCAGGACGATATCTGCTCGAAGAACTGGTACCAATGGCCCGTGTAGCGCGCATCGACTTCCAAGTTCCAGAAAAACTCGTATTCCTGGTGGCGGTGCGCGAACCACTGGACTGGCATGAAGGTGCTACGGTACACACCGTGTAGTGGGAGTTCTCTGTACTTCCACGGATCCATTCTCGCATAAATGGATCCCATCATGGCTTCGTTCCATAGTTCTGCAATTCCCCAGAATTCTTCTGGGACATTTTCTTGGAGAACCTGTCGGTAAACTTCATTGTCGGACCAGATGGGGACCTTGTTGTCCTTGGAGTGAACGAGTAAGTGGATACTGTATTCTCCACCGGTGTTGATGGATAACTCAGAGATGAGGGATCGAAGGAATGCAATGTCGCCGGCGCTGTATTGGTAACCGGTCCAGGTCCGGACAAGAACTGCGGTCCGCGGAACGTGTTTCTTTTGCTTGTGAAACCCGCCACCGGGCATGCCTCGTGCCTTTAAAGTGCTATGTTCCCGGTCCTCTACAACATTGACGGCCATATAATCTTCACTCGGGTACAAAGTATCCTTTGTCTCCACATTTTCGAACCGGCCTTTATTTTTCTCATAACAGCTCTTTTGAAGTGTGCCCCAATCAACACCTCTCCAATCGATTCTCTTGAATGGCATTTTGCCCGGTCCCCAGCCAGTCTCTATATCGGTCTCATTATCACCACCGTCATACACGGCTTCTCCCAAACCGCCCTTAAAATCTTCGTATCCATATCCATATGTGCCATATCTGCCATACCGGTCATAACACACATCATCATTGATACCTAATAATCTATGCGACCCGAAGATCGGCGCAGGCATACCCTCCGGTGCACCATCGAAAACTCTAATCTCTGGTCGACCTCTTGTCTCTCCCGAGTTCTCGTCTTCGTCAAATGAGCACTCTTTGTACTCCCCTTCCCAAGTCCGCCGGTATTCGTCATGGTCGTACTTAGGATACGGACTAAACGCCCTACTTCCGGCGGTCTTTCCGCCGCCGGTTACTGCATCTGGCCGTGATGACCCTAGGACCAATTCTCGCTCATGCGCAAGACGCGGTGGGTACTCGGGGACATTCATATCGCTGTTGGCAAGGCTGAATAGACCTTTATAGTAGTTCTTGAGGAACGGAAATGTCTCCGGCCTTGGAGGCGGTGGAGTAAGATTGGGAGAGAAGGATTCTTCTGCGTTATCTGACGAAATCGTGGGCGGTCTCGAGGGCGAGGCTCCACCGACTGAGAATATAATAACGAGAAACATAAAGACTGTCATGGAAATGAGGATGCGTGTGAATGTGCGCCGACCGGCGAATGGGGGGCGGCGCGGCGTGGAAGGCCATGATAATTTGCTGGATTCGAGATCGGATATGGGGTCTAGAGGGACTTCTGTGGGAGGGGGAGGAGGGACGAAGCCGGGCGGTCGTGCGCGACGAGGCGGAGGAGGGTGGAATGTATCCTGGAGGCTTTTCCACCAACCCATTGTGAAGTTGGCAATTTTGCAATGCCTTTCGATCTGTGCCTGTTAGTGATTATGATGCGGTTTCCCGAGGCTCGGAATGGTTACATACGGAAAACTGCTAGTTATCGAGTTCGTTTTAGCGTATAGCAGGCGAAACCAGTTAATTGTATGTCAACTTAAGTTTGAGTTCCCGATAGCATTGATTGTTTTGAACGTTTAACGCTGACTTTTCTGTTGTCTTAAAGCGTTTTTGTAGCTGACTTGACATGCTAACTCAGGGGTTCCCCACTAATAAAACACACTAACGTGTCTAGCGTCTTGCCTTATTGTTGTTTCGCGTGGACGAAGGATATCTAAATTAGAGGGAACCAGGTAAACTGATTATCATAGATTCGTCGTCTGGACTGCCTTTTGTGGAGTAGAAAAGGTCAAAGAGGTCCTTTAAGGAAATGCAGGCGCTGCCGATCCAATCAAGCTCTGCATATCCATTCCTCTTTTTCGGCGTTCGGGTTTTAGACCTTCCTTGTTGCCGCAAAAGAAGGAATTGAAAGTTCGATGATCGCCACTGAGGAATGTTTTAGGGTTTTGTTTTTTCCCGGTGAATAGTTTTTGTGTTGAGGTAAATAATTTGGAGTTCGACGATCACATGTGCTCATCTAGCTAGACATCTGTTGCTACAGCAACAGCATGAGCTATCTATATGCGGTGACATATGCATGCCCTAACAACCGCTTCCGCTTTTCGGCGAGATGTACCCATCCAGGAGGCCATTAGTGGACGATCTGAAAGTAGTAATCAGTACGGATTGTTCTGAATATTTGTGAGTGCTCTTGCTACCTAAGTAGAGTACTAGTTCAAGAGATATCGAGATATCGCTTTATGAATCCACTAGTGGTTGGCCCGGTGTTACCACTGCAAAGAGTAATTCACGACCTACATGTAGATATCAGTACGTTTTTAACCTAGTACCGTGCGAGACCGAGAGATGGGTCATTGGCATGCAAATTTGGTTAACAAATTTGGTTGTGATTAGGCCAAATACGTTACTGGTAACAATGATCATGGATATAACTTTTAGGAGATGCCCACAGTAGATATGTATGTTATCTGCAGTAGAGTAGATTCACGATGTACCACTGATCCTACTTGCAGGCCAAGCAAAGACTGTTCTCCTGAGCTTCTGGAAGCAATGCCTACAACTGGCAATAGATTAGTCTTAATGACGACATAGAGTGAACAGTGTATAAATGCGCTCAGCTTGAGCTAGGAGGTTTTCAATTGTGATAAAAATTGTAGCATGTACGTACGTATCTACCTACAGTTGTCACTTGAGTCTATCCAACCGTGGTTTGTGCAGTACGCCTTGCCTTTAGGCGATTCGGACAAATGCCTGCTCGATTCAAAGCCACAGTTTGTTGGACTGTGATCGAATATGTAGAGGTGCATAAATTGCGGTTTCTTGTGCTCTTCTCGTTTATATGTAAGTTGTACTCTAATGGGTAGTCAGCTCGCAATTGGGTAACCTGCCCCTGTACAGTGCGCATGATATATATCACAATCAGCTATACCCAGGCTTCTTTGCAATTTTCTCACATTAATCTTTGAAACTTCGAACATCACGCGAGCAGGTTATGTCGCTAAACACTTTTAAGTGGTTGAGGAGGAGGAGAGCTCAGACAAACAAAGGTTGCAACTGGAGAACTGGTCACGTTACTGATAATTAAAATGCGCAGTCGGGATCGAGGTGAGCTATGTAATATATCAAGTTTACCATCCATTGACATGTGCATTAAGGTGATGATCTGGACAGCTTTTATGGACACGATTGTAGAGCCCCACATTTTTTGTAATCCGCGGTATTCAGAGTAAAAAAACCCTACTCTAATAAACCCCGCCAGCGGCAATTCCCACGGACCATGGCTACCTACAAAACAAGCAATCAACCATGGGACGGCCACATCGACTAGTACATAGCCAGAGTTGGTACCATGGTGGTCCTCTAGAGTACCCACTAGTACATACATGTAGGTAATGTACAGGTCGGATTAGAATTTCGAACCTCTTCTTGTCAGGTAACTCAGGGGTACAGCAGAACATCTTATCCCATCCAAATGCAATGGCCACGCAAACCCATCCAAGGGATGCTCGAATGAACCGGGCACACCGGTGACATGGTATCAATGGCCACTCATTCCCCCCGATACATGAATCCCTCCCCACCACCATGAAGGAAATTATCCAGATGATATGGTCGGATCGGGCAGGGACGTCTGGGGGACGACTCGAGAATCAAAACTTGGGAGTGTGTTAGATCGGGGCACGAGACCCCGAGCCCTTTCTACTCTATATCCTCTTACCATTCTCTCCTTCTCCCTTTCTCTTACATCTACACCACGCCTACCCATCTACAGTATCATCACTTTCATCCTGAAATTTGGGTTCACGTTCAGTTAAGCAATAGTGAAATTCGCTTTTCTAAAACTTGCACTCAATCCTGTTTCTGTTACCCATTCACTTGTAGCCCATTTCAGTGAGCTTGCTTCTGTGAACCTTCCCGTTGTCTTCCACTTGCTATCTCCTCTTGTCGTCATCTACTCTCGGTGTCTCAACCAAATCCGTAACAAATTATCCAGTCGAAATGTCTTCATCCAAACCAACTCTACAAGCTCTGGCGAAAATGGAGCAGCTTCCAGTACTTCCACTATCCTATAGCCCAGCAAATTCAGATGATTCAGCAAAACATCTGGTGTATACTTTACTGCCCCAGTGGGACCCCGCCAACGGAGGAAGGGGCATCACCCTCGTGAGATTCACAGATGGAATCACTAACACTGTATGTTGAAGCCTATTCTGTGTTTTTGTTGGGTATTGTAATTTGCTTTTTTGAGGCGAACTCAACGGGTTTCCCTGCATCTCCTGCCTTAGTGCGATTTGCATGTGAAAGTTCATGATCCCTACAACAGTGGATCGATCTGAATGATTGAGCAAGCAGAACTCTTTGATATCCGATTGTCATTGACTTTGGCTCTGAATTTCCGACCTATGCTAACTGAAATACCCTGGTGAATAGCTTCTTAAATGTGTCCACAATCCTCCAGAGGGTGTGTCCCCAGCCGAGGCGAAGAAGCTTGCAGATGAGGAGTCGGTCCTCTTGCGCGCATATGGGAGAGACACCAGCATCCTGATTGATCGTGAACGTAAGCTTCCGTATATATCTAGCTTTAGCTATCTCAAGAAGACGGTTTTCATTTCGCAAGAATGTCGATTAACAGAGAACAGGCGAATGCGCATCCCACCTTCTCCTCTCCCGACACAATCTGGCGCCCGCACTCCTCGCACGCTTCGAAAATGGTCTACTCTACAAATTCGTTGCCGGCAGAGTTTGCACGGTCCCGGAGATGTCCCAGCCCAGCATTTGGAAGGCTGTTGCCGCACGAATGGGTGAATGGCACGGCACTCTTCCGACTAGCACTACCCCGCCGCCATCTCCGGCCTCGTCGAGCTCAGCTTCTTCATCTGAACCAGACGTGACTCTCTGGAATGTGTTGCAGAAATGGATCAGCGCATTGCCAGACGCGAGCAAGTCCCAGAAGGAGAGGAAGGAGTTGCTCCAAAAAGAGCTGGATTTACTGCAATTGGGAGAGGATGAAGGCGGATTCAACATCAAGGGACAGGATGGTGGAATGGGAGTCGTAGTTGGGCATTGCGATTTGCTGAACGGAAATGTCATCATATTGCCCGAGGATGACGGCGTTACATCTGCGGGCGGGAATACGAAGGTTCATTTTATCGATTACGAGTAGGTTCTCACTTTTAATGATCCATTAAGGATTATGGGTTGTTAACAAGTAACAGATATTCTACCCCCTGTGAGCGTGCTTTCGACATCGCCAACCACTTCGCTGAATGGGGCGGTTTTGATTGCGATTACAATCTCCTTCCAACTCGCTCTACTCGTCGCGAGTTCATCAAGCATTACCTTCAGAGCTTTCATCAGCACCGCAACTGCTTTCACAGCGCGACTCTGGAAGCTGAAATTGAGAGCCTCATGACCGAGGTAGATCTGTTCAGAGGTGTTCCAGGATTTTACTGGGGTATCTGGGCACTCATCCAGGCCGAGATCAGTCAAATCCACTTCGACTATAAAGGATATGCTGAGATCAGGCTGGGCGAGTACTGGGATTGGAAAGCTGAGAAAGAGGGTACCAGGGTTGGAGAGATTGGTATCAGAGAAAAGAGATGGGCGATGGAGTAGGTCCAACACCCCACTCCTTCATTCAAAGAAGAAAGAGGATCTGGGTACTTTGGCAGCCGCAGGCAGCAAAGTCGATCTTCCATTATGTCTTTTTGAAGTAAAACGAACCATTTATTAACGTCTTTTCTTTTCTTTCTTTTTGGTCATGGTTTAAAATGGTGTTTCAACAACGGGGGTTTCTTTCTTCGACTTTTTAAAAACTGGACGGGTGGATGCCTTTCTGGTAATCGTTCTTCTTTTTTCTCATCTTTTGGCTTTAAGTTTTTTTTTTGGCATTTTCTTTACGATATTTCCTATATCTTTCTGTTCTCTGTTCTCTGTTGGCGGAAGGCGTAAGGTCTGTTTTTTCAACAATAACGACGGCCACGTTTGTGGGGCAGTTTTGTAGAGCATTTAGTAACTTCGGGCGGTATTCAATTCAATGATGAAGGTATCGTTATTTCTGTTCAAGAGGGCGAATAATATCTTTCGATATATGTAGAGTGCTATAATTTTATTCGGCTGAATATATTCAATCGAGTGAGAATTATACATAGTCATAAGATCTCACTCGTCCTTTTAAGCACCCCACTTAGTGTCTCGGCAAAGTCCAGGCTAAATTTCTGGAAATGCGACCATTGGCTTTCTTGAATACAGTAAGCGCAAAGTTTTGGCGATTTTGTGTTTTGATTGAAAAAGACAATAGTAAAAATTAAATATTATCGAACTCGTCACATCCGTATATTGTCTCGTTTCCATGCTTATTTTCAAGCCTTTCCAAGGAGTGGGCACGAGACCTCATGTAACAACCATTTCGAAAGAGGGGGAGAAAGTACCCTTGAGCAATCTATGATGTGATATGCTCATAACCTCGTGTCACTCAAGAAAACTACGCATATATATCATAAAATGAAATCATCAAGATTCCAGTTTGATAGGACTTCGATATCTCGATTAACCTACCTATCAGATCATGACAATATATCGAGGTGTTTTCCTAGATCTCATCTCGTTTTAAAGCCGAGACAGTACTGCAGTCCAACCACCTATCAAAGCCTTTCATGGTGCCCTGCGGTCTAGATTTGCTGCAACTGGTGGTCGTGAACAGAAAGTCCTTGGCTGCGTTTTCTTTCTCAATGGAAAAATTATCAAAACGGGTTATTGGCGTTTCGGGGGTGGAATAACATTTCCCCGTAACTCCTCGGATGCAGGGACTTGTCGTGAATGTACTGATCGGCGGAAACCCCGCGAATTATAACCTACCCCGGGTTTTGAACTCTAGTTAACCTTTGGATGTCTTTGAGGTGCGCCTCAGTGGAAACAATTGTCTCGGCGTGGTTGGGTCCTGGATTGGGTATCCTACTGGAATACTTTGTATCACACCCCGTGGTACGTACCCCCCCCCAACCCCGGTCTGAGCTAGGGACGTGTCTTGTCTGACATTACAAGACTCAGGTCAATCGCATAAATACAACGACATTCCATATTCCAGGTTCCAAATTGATCAAGTACTTATTGCACTCTACAATATTGTGGACTTCGACATGATAGAAAGCCCACTTGAAGATCTTGGCCACGCGCGGGCCAATATTAGTTCTGGTTCGGGTATGCACGTACTTACTTGAAAGGGAAAACACGGTCCTTCAGAGCTAACACATCGCGGCGCTCGCATCAACAGCTGGTGTGTTATATTCTGACTACGACCCCGAAAGGCTTTTTCAACACTGCTGGCGACGAAACTCTTGTGGGGAGTGTCTAAAAACCCATTTGCCGTGTGGATGGTGCCCGACTGTAACCAACTGCCTCCCTTTTGGTGATACTATACGGTTCAAAGCCTGACAAAAGCATCCAGAGTCAAGCCTGTGTTCCAGCATTTTCAGGATTGTTCACCCCACTCGGAGACCCGAAAGTCTGCCCAATGTCTTCTGAGCGTTTCGAGCTGCGCACGAAACCCCTGGGCTGTAAAGTCAGCACCGTAACGGCACTCACTGCAGTCATAAGCGTACTTTCGACACTTTTGCTTGTGGGGATAATCTTCGCCGTCGTGAGATACCACGCCTCGGTGGGCTCTTTATGGCGACGTATTTGGCGCCGGAATAGTGGGGAAGAGGAGAATGGTGAGGCGAATGAAAATACACGACTTTTGTATTCAACCAGGAGGGCTGCGGCGGGGATAGGGAGGAATTGGAGCTTTTGGGTTTACAATACGACGCCGGCCACTGAGGGTGGAGGGGAGGGGCCAGGTCCGGGGACGTTGGAAAGGAGTGATACGACGGGCGACGAAGGAGAAGCAGTGGGAGGAAGGGAGTTTGAACAGAGAAGGGAGCGGATCTTGCACAGAAATGCAGAAGTTTAGGCGATGGATTTAGTCCATATGGGTGGGCAGAGGGAAATAATACATGTGTTGGGAGCTATTTTCTTTGCAAGGTTGGTTTATTATTATTATTAACAATGATATTACCCATCGACAATTGATGAAACTGTTTCCCAATTTCCGGGCTACCCATAGCTGTGCCCCATAGCTGTGGTTATGTGATTGTCGTATATGTTTCCCGAAGTGCTATAAAGGGATCATTGAGGATATCTGTCAAGTGGGCATTTAGTCTCCAGGACAGATCTCCACTTCCCCGTTTTGGGTCAACTTGTATTGAAGCACAAATACTCATGACTCTTTGAAGTCAAAGGGATATGTGGCCGAAACATATTGGCGACGACCCCAAGCAAGATTGTTTTATCGAGTCATATATTGGGCCAAAGCCAGGATGTGGATTTCTTCAGCTCTTGCTAAGCTCTTGGGAACTCATTGCCATATTTTGCCGAATGGGGCTAGAAATGAGATATAGGGTCTACAGCTCTCGAAAGCGTGGCCTGAGCTCTGAGAGTAGGTAAACGAAGATACGAGGCAACCTAGATAATTGTTTACAGATAAATGCATGTAGTCCTGAGCCGAGGTAAAGACTTATTCTATGTAGACACTGCCAGTTGAACTCAGGTACCGCGGAAATCCGGGGTTATCAACGGGCATGCCATAAAGCAAGCTAGAAATGAAATGTCACGGCGAATGTCTCAAACAACTGAAAGAGACACTTATCAACCAGTTCATCCGAGTTACTAAACAGCTTAGAGTTGTACGCACATTGGAGTCAATGAAATGCGGGTACATGTACTCTAGAGTACCTACAAGGAGATGGAAACGCAGTCCGCCATTGGGTCAAGCCCACAAGCTTTGACGTGGCTAATGCCATGCTGTCATCTTCGATAGGAGTGAATGGCAGCTAATTGCCCTATATTGGGTATTTGTGGCGCAGCAACACTAGCACTGGTGATACATCGATACTTCCCCGTGGCTCCCTCATTGAATCGATGAGCAATAGCCATTCAACGTAGTGAAGTGTCCTTTTCGTATCTAAGCCATAAAACGCAGGTCCCGGGGGTCTACTTCAATCATCTTCTCCTGCATCATTATCTCACCGCCTTCACATAAAACTTCAATAAATTCCTCTTGCGTTGTAAAAACAGAAGCCAATCGAAAATAACCTGGTATCCTTATCCTGATCAAGCCAACCTACGCGGCAAAAGCAAGCTAATTAGCCTCCCCCAGTCCCAAAAACCCGTCGACGCCCCTTTCCTTTGCGCTTTTCCCAACCAACCTCTCCATCAACTTTGCAAAGGCCATCACCGCTTCCTCTACCCACCCTCACGACACCTGGAGCAACGTTCAACGTCTGTTTCTCAACGCACGATATCTGTCGTATTCATCATCACCTGTAAGTTCCGCTATGTCCTCATTGCTATAGAAAAACCCCATGCGCTTCTAGTGTGGTCATCTCTTTAAACTGCTGTTTCTACCCCTCCTGTACAATTTCGTTGCTGTCAGTGTAAACCCCGTCGCACCCCTTATCCTTCTAAGTTTAACACGACATATCACCTCACTTTTTGGGGTCGGCTGCTTGAAATCTTGCTTTCGCTTTTCCTCAGCTTGAAGGCCTCGAGAGTACTTCCTTGCTGTCTTGATCCTCCCCGCACGCACTGTTCCGGATTGTTCTGCTCTTTGTAGCCACGTGCCAACAGCACCGAGCATTTAACGCTAACACCTTCCACCTCATCCTACAGAAGCTTTTCCTCTTATCTTCGTCACGAAATAACGGACCTTTTTTAAAGAAGATTAATCAAAACCAAAATTCACAATGGGTCTCTCAATATCAAAGCTTCTTTCTGGCCTCTTCGGCAAGAAGGAAATGCGTATTTTGATGGTTGGATTGGTAGGTTCCATTTCCTAGTCTTCCTTCGTCCGTTCGCCTTATCGCAGCTGTAGGCTGCCAGCTCTTTACCAGTGCCCCCGCGTAATAGGACACTGGATGCACAAAGCTTTTGGCAGTAATATGCACGTTTGAAGGGATGCGGCGGATGTGGTTACAGGGATGTCCGAGGCTGATTCTTAATTTTTGGGAAATTTCTAGGATGCTGCTGGTAAAACTACCATCCTTTACAAGTTGAAGTTGGGAGAGATTGTCACCACCATCCCGACCATTGGTAAGATATTCTCCTCGCTCTCCCCCAAGCGATTTCGGTCTAGTTCCATCGTGGCGCAAGCTCGATGATAGGCTCTTAGGAAATGTATGCTAAATTTCGCGCCCACCACAGGTTTCAACGTCGAGACTGTCGAATATAAGAACATTTCATTCACCGTGTGGGATGTCGGTGGTCAGGACAAGATCCGTCCTCTCTGGCGCCATTACTTCCAGAATACCCAGGGTATCATTTTCGTTGTCGATTCCAACGACAGAGAGCGTGTCACCGAGGCCCGTGAGGAGCTGCAGAGAATGCTGAACGAGGATGAGCTCCGGGAGGCTTTGCTCTTGGTTTTTGCCAACAAACAGGATTTGCCTGTGAGTTTTTTGTTTCTCGCTTTAGCTGCGAAAAGTTCTTAATTGACCCCATTGTGTAACAGAATGCGATGAACGCTGCCGAGATCACCGACAAGCTTGGTCTGCACAGTCTGAGGCAAAGGGAATGGGTATGTTCCCTATTAATATTTCCTTATCGAGTTTTATTTGAGCTAATGGGGCCACTTTTAGTACATCCAATCCACCTGTGCCACTTCCGGAGACGGTCTCTACGAAGGATTGGAGTGGCTCAGCACCAAGTTGAGGGGACCTCGCTAGACTGCCACCATTCCCTACTCCGCCATCCCCCTACCCCCTTTTTCCGTCTGCCAGCCAGCCTTAGTGTTCTTGTCAAATCTTTTTTAACAATCAAATAAACAAAAAAAGATGGTAATCTTGTGTGAGACATATTTTTTCCCTTTTTCCTGAAGGCCAATTCTGGATCCAATGGGATGTGATTTTATGATTTTGAGATACTTTATCATTTTCTTCAGGTCCAGTCAATGTTGATTTTTTGCCTTCAACTTTTGTGTGTTTGTTTTATTGGGCTCGGTTTAGGTTGAAGGTTTTTTGTTTTCCCGCAATATGTTTGTGCTTGGTATGGGGTAGTTATGTGTAGAGGATGATGATGATACGAATAAACAACGAAGATTATTGCTCTACAATCCTTGTAAGGTTTTATGGGATCCAGGCTTATTAAGTTACGACATGGTAATGGGTTGGGACTGTCAATATCTATCTCATGCTTCATCTAGTGAAGTAGATCAATTTCTAGCTCCTAATCGATCTTCGATTACTAGGTAAAAGCTTGCGCAATTAACCTGCAGTCTGTCCCTGCGCGATATTGATGCTGCTGCTGATGTCGAATTGGTTCTGGCTTAGAGAAGCCGCTTATCCTACCTATCTGGTTTGTCTACTTGCTGCTGGGTATTACTTGGTATTTAGGTGAAGCTAGTGGCCTGGATTAGAAACAACATATGTTCATTCCTAGTATTAATAGCTCTGAGGATATACCATATTAAGTAGCGCTGTAATAATTTAGGCTTTCCTTCCACCCCACCCAATGACGCTATCAGTTTATCGATTATCGACATAGAGTAGAACACACGCAAGAAAGCTTATCCCTGCACGTTAATTCGCAAATTGGGCCCTGAGAGCTGAGACATACGCTTCGAGGCTATATACACAGGGCTATGGTGCGACCTGGAGGGTCTGAGGGTCTGAAAGTCAGCAGCGGCCGGCGGTCGAGTAATAAGTAGAGGAGAGAAGCTCGACGAAGGTGGCAGTAGTCTTGTACTAGTAAAGGAGGGAATATGGGTGGAAGTATGAATGTTGATGGTAAGATCAACAATAGTAAAGCCAAAGGGGCTGTAATAGTTGAGTTATTGACATTATCGAGCTTGCTAGCCATACCGCAAGGCGTTGGAGTTGATACAAATGTGCCAAGCCATATATACATGTGGATTATCATCAGGGTTAGGTTTTATTTTGAGGCTCGAAGCTGGTGCTAGGGGGCTTGTGTATCGTCAAATATGCAGAGAGCGGATGTCTGCAATCCATGACTGCCTTGCGGGGAAGGTACTGGGGAGTAGAAATGCCAAAGACGCTACATGTACGCATATAATATGTGGTTTGCTTCAATCGAGACAAGGTACATGTAATCACCTTAAAAGCTACATGTATGAACATGTATGTAGGTACAAGAGCGCTACGATAGCTGTATTTCACATGGTGATTGATTTATTTTTACCCCTGGTAATAAAAACCTCTAGGATCGATCTCAATGAACTAGATTTGTCGTACAGCTCGAGCTAGCTGTTCTATAACATTAAGTTGTGAAGTGTTTCTGAAACACCTAGGTAGAAATACATAGCCGGGGGAGCTGAATTGAAAATTAATCTCTAGAAGCGCAGCCGCGTATTAAACTGCCCAATTGTTTCTTGGAGGTGAAGACAGCAAAAGCGGATGTCACAGGCCATGCCTACATGTATGTTTCACACGTCGTAAGCGACTTCTACAGCTCCCATGTATGAACCTAGCTACAGTACATAAGACCTACAATAGTCTCACCTCCAGAATAATTCAATATTCATACTCCTAGCTGCTCTTGAAAATCTTTGAAAACCGCTATAATGGCTGGTACCGCTCACAGCACCGGAATACAGCTCTCCAACCTTGCTCCCAACCCAAGGCCCGCGAATAAACCTAGCAACTCACAACCAACACACCAATACTACCACTCTTTCCCGACGTTATGCAGCAAGTTCCAAGATCTCGACTCAGATGGGGTCTACGAAGAGTCCAAGGAGTCTGTCATGAATGAGGCGACCTGCAACTTCATTATCGATTTTGGAGGTGCAGTAGAAGAGGGGGGTGCCGCGTGGTGTGCACTTGATCTTGATGATTCGCCAGCTACAGTGGAGGCAGTTAAGGGCTTGTTAGGAAAAGAGGTATTTGGACTACTCTAAAGTAACAGCTATATTAATGTTGAAAAAGTGTTGACATGCTGCGAATGTTTGTAGAGACCGCGAGAGCTACGAACTCGATGGATGTTAGTACTGCCTATTCCACAACCTATACTTAAACCGTAATAATTGGAAGCGAGCTAATACTATCTATAGAAATATCTTCTCCCCACACACGCAGCAGCCACTTGTTAGGGCCATCGCGCAACACTATGGACTTTCGTCGCGGCATACTAGCGCCTTGATGGCACCTCCACAACGTGTTGAGCATGTTCAGAAGAAACCGGTTCAGCACCAACAGCAAATGCTGGAGAGGCTCCGAAATAGTTTGCATAGAGGTCGAGATGTCGAGAATGCAGCTGAAGATACCAATGAAGTTACCCGTTTGGCTGGGGGAAATGTGCCGCCAGGGCGAGCAAGGTCACAGGGATATATGGATCTTGTCAGTAGTGTGTGGCACTGGCATGCTGTGGAGTGGGGTGGTAGATGTAAATTATATTGCATTATTCGATCCTTTAGGAGTATGTGCTGATTTTCCCTTTAGTTATGTGTATCGGCTTCAACCTTCTTCATCAAATCCCTGAGGAAGGTGAAGATTCCAATGCCGAAAACGGGGAGGACACAGACTACGAAGATGAGTGGGAGTGGTCCGGCGACAAAGATGGAAAAGCTTCCATGGATAAGGGCGAGAACTACCCACAAGGAAAACGACTCTGGAGTTGGCTAGTTCTCTGTGATGATGGTTCGCTACTTTCATACCCACAGAATATTTTTTGGTGATAATAATGTCTAACTCGTGACTATTTTAGGCACTGTTATAGCACTACACGAGCCAACTGGAAAGGTCTCAGTAGACCAGATGAAGTTGATACGGAAAAACATGTTTACTGTGTTTCGATCATTATCTCAATCACCCAAGGCTCAGGATGAAGCGAAGAACTCCTACGACCTCAATTCAGGATTGGAGGAGATGCCGTTCAGGCGTATCCATACCAAAGGTGATAAGAGGGAGGATGTATGTCTCAAGGTCCTTTGTACCCTATACCCGTCCGCTAACAAGGTTGATAAATAGGTTGATAGCGCACCGAGTTTGCTATTCTATTACCTTTTTGACGACTGGTACTCCTCTCTTAATCTTGTAGTTGGCCGAGGTTACCCCTACAGCATCCACATGAGCAATTTACGGCAAGAGATGCAACGCAATCCCAAGCTTTCCCATATCTCTCGTCTCCATCGTCTTGCCCGCCAACTTGCCACACTGAAACGGATGTATGAAACTAAGAAGATAATAATTGACAATGTTCTCTACCGACAAGAAAATTCTCTGTCCAACCGCTCAAGCATTCAACTACAACCTCCTCCCACTCCTCCCAACCCTCATGACCCAGCCCCGACTCTCGGCGACCCCAATATCCTTGGTGTGCCCCTCTCTCCGACTGCCATCGCAAAATTTGAGCGTCTTCGGGACCGCGTGAAGCTTTATGCTCTCGGCGAAATCGAGGACTGTCTTGCCGAGAAAACGGAGTTGATATCAATGACGTTCAATCTATTAGCAATGCGGGAATCACAGGCTGTAGAGCGCCTCTCTCGTGTAGCCATCTTCTTGACAAAGTTCACATTTCTGTTTCTGCCGCTCACACTGATCACGGGATATTTTTCGATGCAGCTGAAAGATATGGACGACTACACACAAGCACATTTTTGGGCCGCGAGTGGAATTTTCGTGGTGTTGATGATATTAATACTATATACGGTGGGTAAGAGCACGGATACCCTGGAGACCGGGGTTATATGGAAGAGCGTAAAGGAAATGTGGTTCCCATGTTTGGGAAGGAGGAAGAAGAAGAAGAAAGGAGGAAAGGGCGGAAGGCGGTCATATTGAGGTGGCGGAGTTATAGCTGGAGTAAAGGATTCGTTTCTGGGATATATATGCTCCTGTCATACGTTGATTTTCTTTCTTTTTGATTTTTAATTTAGGTTTTTGATTTTATTACTATATATCTAGTTAGTGTATCACGTAGAGCGTATTCGATACCGTTTATTCTCTGTACCAAGGCGCTCCAAGGAAATTATGTATGTTCATGACAGTGTTCTCAATCTCAAAGTACATACATACATGTATACGGCATCCTTAAGGCTCGACATACATTACCGCCTTTACCCCATAAGTTATAAGCCTTATTTTGAGCTCTAAGACGTAGAAAACCCTTAAATAAGGCATATGTCTCAAAAAAGCAAAAATAAGCCTGTTTTGGGCGAAAGCATGACATTTTGCTCAGCATTATCTCTAAATCAAGCTCTTCTAAGACCTCTTCTGGTATTAGATTTATCGAATAAATAAGAATTAGTAAAATTGGTCAGGATTATAGGCATTTACGGGTGCTAAGGCTGGGTTAGGGTTAGGCACTTAGCAAATATTAAACCGTGTTCTTCCATCTGTTCTTTAATACCCTCCCCTCTACTCTCCTAGCACCACCCCCCCCCCCCCCCCCCCAATCTCCTAATCATCAAAAACATAGGCTAATCAGCGAATCTAGCAGCAGCAGCAGCACCGAACCAAGCACCAAATCGAGCATCAAATAGAGCAGCAAATCGAGCACCAAATACAGCACCAAATACAGCACCAAATACAGCACCGAATGCAGCACCAAATCGAGCACCAAATCCACCTAATTGAGCGAAATAGGTCGATAGGTCGATAGGCAGGTAGGAAGGTAGGCAGGTAGGTGGGTTAAATAGATTGTCTTAAATCAATGTACATATTAAATTCAGTATTAATAAAAACTTCATTTCCGAAATTCACTATGGCGAATAACTGTAAAAGCATACCTATCAGGCTATCATGCTGATCTCACGAATAAACATTATTCAGCCTTATTTTTCAAAAATACCTTAAATAAGACTAATCAAGCCCGTTAAACCTTAAAATATTTTAAGATTATCAAAACCATAGTCTAATAAGGACCTTAAAAAGAAATAAGAGAAAATTATCAAAAAAGGCGAATATCATGCTTATATAAGCCTAAAATAAGGCTTAAAAAAATACCCCTCTAGGCGGTAAAGTACTGGCGTCAAACTGAGGATTTTAAATTGTAAAGTTAGCTATGGTTTTGTGTCCAGACAGTAAATGAACTATTAATCAATCGATGACGTAAAGTTTGTTTCTTTCTTTACTTTTCTTTTCTTTCTTTACCCCGAGATGGCGGTGGAAGTACATGTAGGGTATATGTAGTTCTGGGTAGTGCTATATTGTAATAGACTAAGGTCTGCATGCAATTAATGAATTAAACAAAAAAAAAAAAATTGTTCTTTCATAGGCACCTACCCCGAGTGATAAGTTGTGACCCAATGATTTCACTGTGGATGCTGGTGTCTCGATACAATATATAATTAAAGGAATATGTTAAGCCACTCGATTGTATATCATTAAAGAAAGAAAACAGGTAGAAATGATATCAAAAATGGGAGTCATACTCTTAATTTTCGTCTTTTCAGAATGATATTTGTTCCAAGACTCACTTTTTTAGTGGGTACGTACATATGTGCCCGGGGGTCCCTATAAGTGATCATGATGAAACGATCATATAATCCATATTTTTCAACAACGAAACTAGCCAACAAGATGCGCAGTGAATTTATGATAATTTACAGGTGGGGATCATAGTTTTGGCAAGAGATATTATGAATAGCTGTTGCTTGTCCCTTTATCACCTTTGTTGGTCGGAAGTTGTCCCTTTTGTAGGCTAAAAAACACAAATTAATGACTTAAAAAATGCAGATTCTATCCTAGAGACTCCTGTGTCATGTGTATGATCAGAATATCTATCTTATTCAGCCGTTGTGTTTTGTTAAAATATTGGAATCCGGGTGCCTTTTGGCGTTGTTATGTCAAACGTTGCATCACTTTTAGGGACCCCCGGGTATGGTGCGCCCACTCTTAAAGGTAGCGGATCGCGACGAAATGTCAACGGCTGCTAACTTTGCAACGAAAATGGTAAAAAAAAAAAAGCGGAATGATAGAACTCTAGTACTAGTGATGAAGTTTAGTTCTATCATTGCAGATTCTTGATATCTGTCTGGGTTGTAAAGTTATCAGAGGTTGAAATTGTGTATTTTTGTATGTAAAAAGCGCCAAGACTGAGCAAAGTGGAACAGTATTATACCCATTTATACCCCCTCAAAAGTGAATTGCGGCAGGAATACAGCAAAGTGGCTAGGAATAAGCCCTCTCATTGGCCTTGGAGTTCACCTTGCAGCCACGATTGTTCCACTTCCAGATACCGCCGTGTCACCTTTAAGAGTGTGCGCACCATACATGTAGTATAAACATCTATAATATGTGCGTTATTATATAAAGCCATTACTACCGCAAAGTCTGAGAAATTTCGTTGCGCTGCAGCAGGGGTATAGGCCAACCAGAGGCAGCCTTTGGACGTCAAAATGCAAGTTATATGCAACTTTTGGTGTAGAATATCCCTGCTGCAGCGCAACGAAATTTTTCAGATTTTGCGGTACTACCTATAAGAATCTTCAAGAATTCTGTCAAACCTTAGAAGTACTCAAAGTCTTCCCTTCGCCGAAGATCTAGGATATATTAATCAATTAGCTGTTGTAAAAACCACGTACTCTATAGATGTATTTCAACATAAAATAACGTTTTCATCCTATGAGGGAGAAGTCCTACGTACATGTGTGTAGGTACATAAGCTAATAAGTACGATGCAAACTTTTGGGACACCATGTTAAGTCACAATGGAGCATGAAACATCGTGAGTCAACGGGGCTTACCGGGACAATTGTACAAAATGAACAAATGATTTAAAGGCTCATGTATGTTACTATAGACTACGACAGCCACGGAGCACGATTTAAATATTGTAGCATGCTGGTTGAAGATTACCATTGATCGTTTTCGTTCCGGGAAGAAATCTGAGTCTCGGCCCTCTGATTGGCTTTCTTTCGATTTCAATCCCAACTAGACGTCGATTTCTCGTGACTATTAATTTTGTGCCTCACCAACACACATGCAATAAGGATCCCCGAACGAACAAAGAACGTATCTCATCTAGCCCCGTTCTTTGAACTTACATCGATTGACGTTCCAAGAGATTCTACTAGGTGCAGAAATTTTTGAATCATGATAAATGCACACAGTTCGATCTTGGTGGAAGTGTAATAAAGTCCTATGCTCTAGGATAAGTGGAGTGTACACTTAATCGATGCTGGATTTTTGCTGCAGGGACCTGCGTGGTCTATGATCAAGCAATGCATGGAGATCCCCCACTCCAGTTTTTGACACATTTGTTCGGGAGATGTGATTGGTTTTGAGAAATATCTTGCTTTGGAGTGAACTCACTCACTAGCTTTATTACTCAGCAATATATTGATAGCCCGAATCCACCTGTGCTTTCAAAATTTCTATAGGGAGACAGGCCGTTTCAGCTGCGACTAGCCGATAGGCAGAAAAGACCGAGTTGATGAAGAGTCATTGGAGGGTCAAGGGTTTTTTGTTTCGATTGTTTCGAGCGCACATTAATGCGGCCTCCCGATATTCCTTCCTTAGTTTCTAACTGTTCTGCCATAATGCATGCCTCAGTTGAGCTACGTATAGCCTTGGAAATGATTCAACTTTAAGGGAAGTGTAGGTGTTACGTACTTCGATACCCATCGGCGGTAGAGCACATGCAGCTAATATTCTGATACACACGAGGAGATCGACCTCAACTCCGCGTTCAACTCTCATGCCACTCTTGCAACATTGGCTCCTAGATTTTACTAGGCGCCAACGGCGGCGCCAGCGCCGGGGAAGAAAAATGAACGGACATAGGTGGGGTAATCGGGAGTGAGCCATTTCATGTCGCCGCGGAAGAGTGATACACCGTGATTCCTAGGCCTGTGGGCCAGTGCACCGGCCTTATGGGAGATTCTGCAAGCTTCCAAGAGCAATTACGTGGATTTTTTTCTATTCTAAATATACGACGTAAGTCATACTCAAATTCAAAAAAGGAACGTCAAAAACATAGACGAATAGAGATATTGATACTTCCTACGAGGTGGCAGAAAGAGTACTTTGCTGCGTTGTACTACCAGCTGTAGACTTAGCTACACTGACATTGTGGACGGAAGTGGTTACCCGACCCTATTATGGTGCACATAACTGCATACATAAGTGTTGCATGTAAGAACAAGGCCAAGAAGCAATTTCTCCATAGCTAGAGTGATATCTCATGAACCACCCCAACAAGGCGATTAAGTTGCGCGTGGCTTTAAAGAATATAATAGCCAAGACGTAAATACGTGCAAATGACTTCCGCCATGGCCTCTTCCCTTAGGGTACTTTCTGTATAATTTGTCAGTGTGGGGTGCGTGTGTCGTTTTCATAGGTTACCCAATTCTGAGCCCCGTAATAAGGCGCCTCGAATAAAAGCCTAGTTCACGTTGTGACACCCAACCAGAGATACCGGACATTCCTCTGAAGAATTTCGAAGAACTCAGAGCTCAGGAATACAATCGGTTTGGTTGACCGTTGAAGATGGAGGCGGTGGGTGTCAAAGCGTAAAGGGCGTATGTAGCAACGGGGGGGCTCTTGTCCCACGGAGATTTGTTGTTTGTGCTCCAATTGGTTGAAATCAAGGTCATCTCCTATGAATGTTAGCCCTAACCCTCTCTTTGTAATTAGTGGATTCTAACCATTTCTGATTACCCGGAATGCAATGCAGCTGTTCAACGCCACTCGAAGCTAGTATGTACTTCGCCAGGCCTCCCCAACCATCTTTCAATATCCAGCGTTCTATTGACCATTCCGTCAAAAACATTGGACTCTAGGCTGGTACAGTCGTTTACCGTCGCTTGACGAATACTGCCAGTTGATGGACAGGGGACTTTGAGCCAATAGAAATTAAAAGAACTGGAGATCTCGCAGCTTGGCTGTTGCTTGCCATACTTGGAACCCCTCTTCGTCAAGTGGCAGTATTCGTCAAGAGACGGTAAACGACTGTAGGTACTGCTTAGGCGATGGCTTGAAAAACGGAGGACGAATGAATGAATTGGCCAAAGGATGATTCCAAGAGAAGCGCTATATATGTGGATATCTATGGTTATACGTGTCTTGATAACTGTGACATGTGTTACTTTAACCACCACACATAGTATACTTCAGCCACTATCCTTTGCCACAGCGATTCTTTTCTTACAACTCTAAATATTTAGTACATTTATAGTATTAGCTTAAACACTCAGAAACCACCCTATATCAAGTTGGAAACAGAGATGGTGTATTTACTACAATGGTATGTAGACCTATTGTACCGGAAGGGTTGCCACCGATCGGACAAATAATCATCCCTTACCTACTCGATAAGTGTATACAAAAAGCACTATTCGCTGTTAAATGTTTTTTATACCTTGTGATCCGCCTTTATGTGCGCAGAATCAAAGCAAACACAAACTGGGCACCAGACTATTTCCAATGAGAAGAAGAACAGCATATATACTGCATAAGTGTCTATTTTACTGGATGTTAGTATATCATTGGGTTTCATCAAAATAACCGGGTTCATTTATGATCATGTAACTGACTGATTTTAATTAATAGCTCGATCTTCGTAGTGATTTTTTTTATTAGTACAGTGTGATCTTCTGTTTTACAGGTACTTGGGGTTTTAGATTTGCCTATGGTCTAGTTTGAATGACACTACATGTACTTTGGGGTAGTGGAATGGATGTGCAAACATGATAACCCAAGTAATACGAAGTGGTACTGCATTTTTTCAAAGACCTTTTTTGCAAGAACACACCGAAGACTGCCCTAAGAAAGGAATTCTTGTTGTAGACTAGGGTAATAGGAAATTTCATTAAGAAAAAGATAAAGTGAACCCCCAACACAAAAGAATGTGTGGATAACGCCTAAAGAAAAAAAAAGAAAAAAAACCCTTTACCTCCAGATTCTCGCTACTAACCGATCGATTTTACGCCCAAATCTTTGCAAGTTACTACAAGAAAAATCCGAAGTGAGAGGAATTAAGGTTTGCAGCAAATCAGGCAGTCTCCATAATCATATTCGCAACACCTGTAACAACCCCGGATTCATTTCTTGGAGATGTGGCTTCGGGGTGACAATCGCGGTCGGTACGGGCCGAGACATCAATCCTTTCCGAACAGAATTCAGTGTTGGAGTCGCTCAGAGCTTCGCCGCTGACCCACCCATACCCTGCCAAGATGATATCCATAACGGTTTTAACTTCTTCTTTGGTGCGTGGGGCGTAAACCATGATGAAGTTGACCGGAACAAAGCGTGTGCACCATCCACCACGAGCAAGAGGGTGGCGTTCTATATTGGGTAACAATAATTGGTTAAAAGAGCTTTAAAGGTGTGAAGTAGCTGATTACATACCTCCCCATCCCGCTTCAATGACAGCCTTGGCGTCTTTAGGGTGTAATGTCAAGTGTAAACTCCCATCAAACGGATGAACGTGAGCTACCTCTCCATTACAAGTCTTACTAACCCCATTTATGGAGAATAGGCCGGAGCAGTGCTTTTCAAAACAGCTGGTGGCCATTTTCAACTTTTTTGGATGATCATTTGCTAGCTCCACGATCGATCGACAAAGAAGGTCGTATATTTCCTTTGCGGGCTTCTGGTTGGTTTGTCTATGCGGTGCAATACCAGCCACATTAGGACGTTTTGAGTTCCGCTTTGGAACCCCAATTGGTGAAAGGTAGCCACCGTCTTGTAATTCTTCGGGAATCGGTCTAGCAACTCGAGTATTGCGGAGAGTTATAATACGGAGGGCTGTGATTTTCAGGTAGCCTAAAAAGGTGGATGGGGTTCCTCCAGGGCCAAGTGATAGAAAGGCATTATAGTCCTTGTACGTTAAGTACGCAAGAGCAGGAAGAACCAAAAGCGCAAAAAGAAGATAGCCATTGGGCTGAGATGTAAAGAGAGGGGGAAGACTTGGGGTTGTGTGCACAGATGGAGATGAAGGGAGAGGAGGAGAAATAAATTTCGATATCAGCTGGACGGTCTCCATTGCTTTATCTATCAGGATATAGGAGATGGTGAGAGGATGACACCAGAGGAGATTGAAGCGGATAGATGAACGGATGAGGTAGAAGAGCAGAGGAGGATAGTAGGAGAAAAAAGAGAATGGGAAAAAATCGATTTGGCGTAGATTGACGCAGACTATTGAATTTGAATAGAGCTTTGCAGGTTATTGGAGTAGGCACTAGCACTAGCACTAAGGTCTCATTTAGTATAATGAGTGGGACCGGAGAGAGATATCAGCGACTTTATATATTTAAGACTGATCTCCCTCAGCCCGGAGCTCAAACCTTCTCCCGAGCAGCTGCAGACACGTCAACATACCGCACCAATGCTTCGTCTCTCACGAGCGTTAATTTTTCAAATAAAAAAATTGAATAAATACTTTTACTCAACACCTTACCCGCGGCTCCCTGCAGATCGAATGTGTTTAAGGAAATATTAAACCGACCTATAGCTAATATAGTATCTTCTGAGAGCACGAGCCTTCTTACCTCACAAAGCAGCTTCTCGTTTTGTTTGTGGGCTGAGGTGATATACAAACAAGGGCAAGCAAAATGGAAGAGTAGAAGGCAAATAGATATCTGTAGGGAGGGAGCATGGTAGCTCGCGACTGAGCAGCGTGCAGGCACCGCCGTGGCCTACCACTACTTGAACGCGTTGACAGAACGCGCGCCGCTGTTCAGAACTGCAGGAATGCTGTATTTTAGCTGCATAATTCCGAGGTTTCAAGCGGTATCAGAGTAATCTTCAGATCCCGCAGAGAAACCTGTACAATCGCACAAGCGCAGAGTTGTTAGTCCGTATCAATCAAGGCCAAAGCAGGCAATCCCGAATGAAAAACGTGTGCGTCAAAATCCGAACCACATGAGCCCGATTCATGGATCAACGGAGCTGAGTACCAACCAGAAGAATTTCCATCTAGTTTGGCTACGAATATCTCTATCTCAAGAACGCTGTGGCCCTCTCTCAATACTCCTCTCAAGAACTAAGCTCAACCGGGGTAATTTATCACTGCCATCATGTGCTACCTGTAGGTCGATGTCATTTTCGATGGTGTTCCGGACCAACGCCTAGCCGTAAATCCGTCGCTTCTCCTCAGCTACATACCTACTTACTTTATCTCATACAATCGATTTTAGACGCCAACATACTGGCAAGACGTACGGGGACGGATTTATCTACTTAGGGCGGTAATAAAGGGTTAGAATTGCTGGTTCCAGTTTATGCTCGTGGTGATCCATTTCTGGATCTGTAAGTAAACTCACCTAGCCATTGAAATTATCATCGGTTGGCTCGATAATTACTAGAGGCATTTTTATACACACGCAACTAATATATCCTGAAAAGCAAGGCCCAGGTCCGCACTCCTCAAGTGATACGATTCCAGGACTGTCAGAGGTTACACTGCTGGTGTACCCGGTTGATCCAGATCAATGTAGGTATGTACTTTCATATGCATCCAGGTCCGCAACGACGCTTCAGGGTCCGTGGTTAGTACTTGCATTTCACATGCTAAGATAACTTCTAAAGTGGTCTTTGATGTCTGATTGGTGGGGAGACGCAGCTTCTCTCTACTACATACCAATTTCATGACGTTTCCGAACACGACTGCTATTGCATGCCATATAAAAAATCGTCAAGCCCTCCATTTTGTATGGTATGCAATATCGGTCGTGTTCGGAAACGCTATGAATAGACGAGTAGCTCGTGTGCTGACATGCTAGAAAGGGGATTAAGATGGTATCACGGTTGTGTGTACTTGACTCTGGAACTTAATGAGTCGATTTGACAGCTGGATTTGGAGGTCTAAACTAGTCAAATCCAAGTGAGACAGCCTTGAAAGCAGGGGCCGCATGGCGGACGAAGGACATGCGTGGGATGGCGGGGCCGGCTGACATCTCCATCTTCGGGCCAAGCGGGACTACGAGAGAGAGAAATGTTCCAATGAACAGCGCAACAGCTCTTCCCCTCATCCCTCATGTCATTCTCCGACCAGTTACTACTAATATCATCCCACCTATTTTATGTAAAGAATATCTCTCCTTGAATCGGACAGCACATTCTTTGGAGACTACCTGTAGTTATGAACTTTGGATCACGATGACACAAGGACAACTGAAACGAGGCATCATGTCATGGAATTGGTTAGATGCCTACTTTAGATAACAAGAATGCTGATTTTGTCCTAGATCTATTGGAATACAATATCGTATGTCCTTTCGGTAAAAGGTCTTTATCGGTTGGCCGTCCTCAAAATCTTAATGTACATGTATGCAGAGTAGTTGCTGTTTTCAGCAATATACATACATAGATAAAGGGGGAAGACGCTATGCTTTTTCCATAAAGCTCTCTTATGATCTCTTCTCGGCAGCGGGAAGAAGGGAAGACACTTTAAGACCAGCTTCCGGGATATTTAACCCCACGAGGACTAAGCTTACGTCGTGGTGGGGGAATTCCCAGTACCATGGTTGAAAGTCGTGGGTATGGGGGCACCAACGTTCACAGTAGTACTACTACTATCGATAAACTTGAGCCGCAACAGCATCAAGATCAAAAGAGCTAGATTCTTTAATCTATAATCTTTATGAGTATTGAACAGGGTTAAGGTTTATCTACACAGGAAACTCTCGAGGTTCATTTCCCAATCTTTTGATGACCAGATTTTTTTAATTTGGGGTTGTAAGATTGTTCTAGGGGCTGGGCCTGGAAACCTTCCCTGGTTTACCGATGTTTTAAGTTGAACAAGCGATGGAAAACAATTCATAAACCTGGTTTTTCTTATGTCTCGTACTGCACGGACCCTTGTTATGCGTGGGGCATGTTGGCTGTGAGTATATGGGGAAGTGAGTGGGGAGGTCATACATAATTGCATGTATCATTTATTTATACGCACAGCAGAGGCGGGAGTTCGGGTACAGACTCGTGGATCAAATTTTGCAACAACTAAGTACTTTTGCCCCCTTCTGTGCTCGCGCATGATAAAACGGTGTACTTCACCGGTTGAAAAGTTCAAATCACATATGCTATGCCCAGATCGATAGAAAGTGGACGATTGTACCTTCTGGTTAGGAGCTATCATAAGACTACTAATATCAGTTTTGCCCTGGCGGCACAATCGCCGGATACGCGCCTAGGATCGAGGCCTTCAACAGGATAAAACCCATGGGTTAAATATTAACATTTTTCTGCGTCCCCTGAATCTACCTAAATCTATTCTCCGGTATACATCTGCTTAGAATTTCTTTTCTGCGACTTCTCGATGAGGTACTTGTTAAAAGCGATTTACGAATTATTTGATATATTCCTGTTTTGGAACAAGGAATCGGCCTATTCTTTGAGTTTTCATCGACTCAGATCGATACATAATATTGTTAATAAGAGAAAATCTTCAAAATGGCAAAGAAACCATACTCTACTGAAGACGCAGGAACGGCTCGGCCGGCGAACCGCGGAGTTTGAGGCCGGATCAACATACAGCCCCTTTTATGGGATTTCCCTTTTGCCGCCTTACATAGAGATAGAGATTTACACCCGAGAAGTTCCCCTCGGTGATTTTGAGACTTGGTCATCCGATACAAGGTACTATCTCAAAGTTGGGTTTGTTTAATACACAGCACGCAGCTCTCAAGGGCCTCGGCCTGCCTGCCGCTCTGCTTCTGGGACCTGCATGATACTTGGAACATACGTATCCATTAACTGGTTAAGGTAAAATCAGAATAATATTCGATTATGTCCGTATAGCCCCCCAACGTGGCCCACGAGACCCAACCGAGTCACTCTTTTAGTGAAAGGCAACGTGGTATGGCTTCAATCGGACAATCGGTGAAGATTGTCACATCTAGGCTCGGAATTTTCGCACAGCCTAATAACGTTCCAATAATCGGGTTGTAACTATACTCTCCTGGGTTTCCCCTCGCTCATTGATACTCATCCAATGGGGCTCTCTCTGGAGATATCTCATCTTCTTCATCGATGATAGTACTGTGATAGTATCTGAATGTGTTGAGGCATTGATACTATGTGGACCGGGAAGGCCAGTTACACTTCCTGGCCCCCACTCTCTTTGTATACGTATGTGTGTACAGACCCGAAGAAAGCACACATACTCATCACCAACTGTCCCGACTTTGAGGAACAGGTGGAACATTCATACTGATGTCCACCACATATGTGTGATTACGAAAACGGGAAAAGGGATTTCATTTCATTCATATTCCTCAGGTACCTGTCCTCCTTGCTGAAAGCATGTTCTTCATGCAAGATCTCGTAGATCTCTAAGATTACTAATTGAAGAAGGTTAACTATGTACTTTACCCAAGTAGATAAGGGAGCAAGAAAGGGGTGGCTTTCTTATTATTGGTACCTTTTGATTTGTGCTTATTCAGAATTACCTGCTACTCAAATCCCTGCCAGCCTGCAGCTTGCATTCTTAAGTTTTGCTTGTCCAAGTATACATATGTCAACCGAGGTGCGCCCTCCAAAGCTTGCCTTTTCTCTCGCCAGGAACCAGGATTTCTCCTGTTTTGATTCGCACAGGTTAACGAAGATCGAGTGATATTGTGTGAAGGTCCGGTCAGGTTGAATTTACCACTCATCTAGGTACATTGTACCTATATGTACATGTATATAATCACAAACCGCACCCAGTTTATCATCATCGGCACACTTAAATCGAGATTTACGCAAGAGAATCAATGATGCATGGATTAATAAATTGCGGCCCAGTGCAGGAACAGATATTACACAGGGCGAAGGATACGTACCCGTGCATATTCATTTTTTATTATCTATAAAATATTGCGTTACCTCTGTACCGGCTGTCAGTGACTTATAGAACTTGATCGATCGTATCTACCATATTCCCGCCACCAGCTCTATAGTTCGATCTATTTTCACGGACTAGTGCAATCTAATTGGTTCTTTTGTTCTAGGCTACCTAGATCTTCTTTACCGACGGCAAGAGTTGCAGAGGAAGCGGTAAGATATATTATCGGTTATCTAATATCAAGTGGAGAAAGAGAAACGTAAAGCTCTGAATCGAGATTCTAGATCGTTAAATTGCGCCATTCGGGATTCTGCAGATGGCACTATAGTCCTTTAGTTTGTCGCAAATTGCTTTTTTTGTTTGGGTATGGACTACTTCGTTTGACGACCTAGCGGTGTAGGGTGGTGTCGCCTCTTCATCAAATATCACTCATGATGATATATGGATTAGGCAATTCGGGATACTCTTCCGTCTTTGGGACCATTGATTGACAAGTTTGAGTGAGAATCAATCGACCCACTAATTTCTATAAACAAACACGAAACCACTGAGTTTTGTGCAAGTCATATATTCATATTTGTTTGTTCACACATTTCACACGTAAAATGTAGGTAAAGGCCCTACCCAAAGGTTTTCGTCAAAGCCCGAAAGTAGGTGAGTCGTGAAGTCCCATACAAAGCTTACCTAGAAACGGGGTTCTCCACTAGAATATTTTATTACACATCAACCACTTCTTTTACAAATTCGAAAATCTGCAAAAGGCTTCTCCCGAGAGGTAAAAAAAATTACCTGTGTTCATCATTGTAACTAATTGTGTTGTGGTTCTATACTGGGAACCCGGTTCCACCAGCTAGTTTAGGTGGTAATTGGCCCTTTCACGAAAACTTTTGGGTAGGTGCTTTACAAGTAGTTAACTGCGGATGGTGCGGATACCCTCGACACAGCAGACATGCTGAGAATTTCATGTGCAATTTGCACATGAAAGCCTCTACTCGTATCAGATCTTCCTGACGTTTGTGGATGCGACTAATATTGCATACCATACAAAAAATACGCCAAGCTCATAGTTTTTGGTGTATGCAATAGTGGCCCAGTTCAAAAACGTCAGGAATACGATCGCACCCAACACTGTTTCTTATCAGGGACCTTAAATATTTCTTGGTTCTTATTGCTTAAATCGATATTGTGAGTGGTCAATAGAACCGATCATAACTTCGAGGTAAATTTTTTTTTAAATCATGTCAAAACCTCGAAGTAATAACCTTGTTGATATAATCCGGATTAAAATCATTGTAGGTTATTGGTAGCTGCATTTCTGCTTGTAGCTACTCGATACATGAAGCACTGTTAAATATCTGGCCCAGATTCATCGATGTACCCCCACCACTCCTTGCTGGAGACATGTACAGCATAAGTGCATATAGAGTTCATTACTATGATCGCTCCTACTCACCCCGCTATATTCGTAGCCTTCTAACATACTAGATTTATACGTACGGTCACATACGATATATCATCTCTTAGGGTGGCACAATAAAGCAGAGAAGTTGGAAGAATTCGAAAGTAGGGCTGAAAATGAGACATAATTACACGGACATCTCTGCACTAGTATTTAATAAACTTGCATACGCAGAGTGGATCAGAACTTTGTGTGTTTCGATCAAGGCTGGCCGTGGCGCTATTCTAGATTGTATCAGTGTGAGATATATGTATGTACAGCTAGAGTACGTACGTACTCGTATCTTCCTGATGTTTGTAAAAGGAACCACTATTGCATACCATACAAATACGCGCCAAGTCAACAATTTAGTATGGTATGCAATAGCGGTTCCTTTCACAAACGTCAATAAAATACGAGTAAGAGCATATGGAACTCGGACCATCCGCCAAGGATAGGCTGTACCCGTAATTTCATAGCGTTTCGAACACGACCAATATTGCATGACGTACAGAAAGGTGGATTTGGCGCTTTTTTGTATGGTATGCAATAGCAGTCGTGTTCAGAAACGTCATGAATTTACGAGTAGAGACTTGCACAACCGGTTGGGACCGAGCCCTTACATACTATGTAAGGGGAAGAAGAAATTTATCTTTTCTTTTTATGTTACAGGCGCATGTGTAATCAGACCAATAATCGCTGCCGAGAGTACATATATGTATGTATGCATCTAGTACCTATGAGTACATGTAACTACGTACATGTAGCTATATACTCAATTAACCTAGCAGATTTACGACCGTTATTTACATCAAGAGAAAGTTATATCACGTACCAGAAAGATGATCATCAGTATTAGTCTCCATATCGCTGAACCCTGATCATGATTCTAACGCGTACGTAAATACCATCTATGGAGTTAGACTGTGGGGGTTAATCGGAAAATCTCAAGGCGTGCCTCAAGACGGATTATAATTATCACAGAAATACTTGTTATAGTGCAAATTGCAAAAATATAGTATAGAAAATAAACCTCACATCAGCACTAAAGGCATTGCAGTGTTGAGTTTCTTGAATTTCTAATACGATTTCCCTTGGGCCAGCTAATGTAATATTTAGCGAATGATTGTCTCTACCGATGAATCCAAATGGAGTGCTTCACATCGCTATCTAAAAGGTTACTATGCGTTATATATGTACAATGCATATATCTCCGGATAAAGTTGCCGAAATCTCAAAGGTACATGTCCTCTTACATGTGCTTAAGCACTTATCATATTTAAAAAGGGTCGAGCTCGGACCGGAGCTTATTTCTGTGGAGTCTGGATGTCCAAAATCTCTGGAATGGTAAAAGAAAATCAGGAAATCAATCAGGGGGCACAGCAAAAATTACACTACCCCCCTCCGAAGCAGAAGGGTTCCGTTTTTTTCCCAAATACTCAACCTAGGGCCAAAGTCCAGGCCACCCATCGTGAAAACAGCAATAATAAAGAATAACTGACTAGTCCGCGATCGCGCGGAGCATAGAGTACAAAACGAACCACAAAACGAACCACAAAACGAACCACAACACGCATTCTGTCGCCGGTCTTGGCACCGATAACCGAATATTGATCTGTGATGCAGGATTAGGCTTTGGACGCGGAACCAAGTATGTCATGTGAAGCTGATTTCTGAATTTTTTTTTTATATCACTGTAGATTTATAACTCATAATCAGGACCCGATGCCCCAGATTACACGTAGACGTTCACGAATCACAACCCATCATTCACGAATCGCAACCCATCATTCACGAATCACAACCCATCATTCACGAATCACATCCCATCACTCGACCTCAATCTTCCTAGCCCAGAGTATTACTGCAGTGGTATATAGATGGGGAGGGTAGAACAGAGACAGACTAAAAAGTACATATATACTTTTACGAAGTCTAGACATTCCCACAGGACTTCTATACTAATCTATAGCGAGCAGAAGTAGTCTTGATTGCTCCTATAATGCGCTCTATATAAATTCATATGATGATATCACAATCTCTGGGGGGATACTGGACCTACGTGTAGTACTTACTTATATAATTTAATAAACCCAAATAATTATGATTAGGAGTAGTGCTGGGGTACGAGTACTCGGGGGCAGCTCATGAGCTGGCTTTATGAGTCTATAATCATAGAATATCACTCGTTAAACTGGACCCGTCAAAAAGGATGAGCTCGTTAATATAAGCGCCATCAAGTGCGCTTTTTTTATCTTGGGTTTATATACCACTCTCAATAAATATATTCTTAAACAATCTTCATGTCACCCCTTATGCTTGCTCTACACATCATGCACCTGCACTGATCTATCGGGCGACTGCTGATCGCGCTCCATAGAATCCCCTGGAAACACAATGTACACAATCTATGTCCACACGGAAGCATAACGCCCGCAATTATACGTTCATAGCATATTGGGCAGTCCGCATCAATGGACTGATAGCCTCTCGACGTCTTTTTGTCGATGTGGTTCTTCCGTACAGAACTCGCAACTTCAGTGTAATATCGTATTACTCCTCCCGGTCCCGAGTAACTAAGTGTTTGTGGACCACTTAAGAATTCCAAAAGTCCGAAGAGTAGTCTCTCGTATTCCTTTATCTCTCTCTCCATATCCTCTTCATCGTTGTCACCTGCAGGTCGGACAGAACGTTGTTCTACACGTAGTCTGCTCTCTTGAACTACCGCTGCGCTCCGTTCGCTCGCAAATTCACCCATGCCCGGATCAGTTGTTCCGATATCTTCATTGTTTCTATTGGGATCACGCGGTGGGAAAGCCGGTAGCGATTGCGTGCGAAGCCCGAGCCTGGCGCCGAAGTAATAGTAATCCAAAGGTCTGGGGCTCTCATGGCTTGCGAGCCCATATACTAGACGACGGCTGGCGCCGAGCCAGGTGAAGCGACGGTCGAGCGGCATTTGTGCTAGTTCTTTTGGTTATGAGTGCTTAGTGGTTTGTGGGGTTTTGGATAAACGGGGCGTGTGGTTATGGATATCATGATATCATATTCGCCTCTAACTTTGGAGTAGGTTAGCTAACCTACTGTGAAGAATGAATGGGTTTGGGAATTGGCTATGACTTGAAATGAAACTTGCTAGAAGAAGGGTTGAGGTTTAGACGTACGCAGAACGTGAAAGAGGTGGATGGTCGGGGCTAGAATTTTCTGTAAACCCCTGTCCAAGAGAGAATAATTTGATGAGAGCAACCCCAGAGGTTCTGTAGATGGTCTTCCCATTCCTTCCTGGTGTGTCGCCGTGAGAAGACGAAAGATTTGAAACATAGTACATGTACAATGAATGTATGGCTGTTTCAAGCTCTGCAGTGTTCCTAAGAAGACAGTGGAGGTATCTGAAGAAGAGCTACCGGGGTATCGTAATGCTCATTGCGGTCGTTAGGATAATTTTACTGTTGGGGCGCCACGGTGATGTGAAGTTCCTGAGCAAGTACGTGGGGTTAGGTTTAGGGAGCTAGTGTTTGCCATTGAGAACACGGTTGCTGCCATTGACTTCTGGCAACGTCAAAAAAGCGTTCGGCCTTGGTAGCTTCATCCATTTACATCATGCACTTCTCTCTTACTTCATCACGACCAATATGTAATCTGAGCGAGGTGGGTTTCCGGCAAAAATTTCAAATACCCTTCCGTCTGGTACGCAGTTCTCGGTTCTCTGTGGTGCTTTTGCCATGGCACAGCGATCTTAAATTCGGGCAAACAATCATGCGAAATACCAAAGGTTGTGTTTGACGTGCTGTTGATGTCAGTAGTAGTCACTTCGAAGATATTGGAAAATCAAGTCTTCAGAAACAGCAAGGCCTAACCTCGCTATCGAGCCCTGAGCGATGTCTGATGCTGCATTCCATCAGTCCACTAACCTGATCGATTTAAAGCAAGCTTTTGCACTCACAATAAGGGCAGGCTGGATCCAGATCCCGTCTGTGCCGAAAGGTATTGAAAGCTCGGCATTCAGGAACCAACAATGACGATATGGCTGATCGGAACCAAATAGACTTGAATAAATACCGAGTTATTTACTGCACAAAGCGGACGGCGGACAGCAAGCCCGAAGAAAATACTGCTGATCTTTACATGAAGCGTGCCTAGAGAAGAAAAAAAAAAAACCTGCTCAGCATCGGCCAATATATCCCGAGCGAGGACTTATATTACATCGGCACTTTGTCTGGAGCCGGAGAATAAATATATTCTTTGGAAGGAGAATTGGGCATGGGCCTACGTCTACACGTGCGCACGTTTGGTCCGGGGTACCCCAGGTTGGCAGTTTTTCTTGTCAATGATAAGCTTTATTGCTCAGTGTTAGTTAACTGGGAGTGGCAGGAAAGTAATAAGTGTTGTTCTTCATGGATCTAGGGTGCATCTAGGGGGTGTACATGGCTACTAGAATATCTGTGCACGATACCAGTACTATAGTACACGATGACCCCGGGTATGGCCACTCTGCTTTAAGGCTGGGCCCACAGCTTCGCGGAGAATCTTTTCGCGAGACAACTAGTCCTGAAGCGTCAAGTATGCATAGTAATTTGCAGTCTGGGAAGTCTCTCCTATATAGGCCTGCTACTACTCGTAAATTCCTGACGTTTCTGAACACGACTGCTATTGCATACCATACAAAAAAGCGCCAAATCCACCTTTTTGTATGTCATGCAATATTGGTCGTGTTCGGAAACGCCATGAAATTACGGGTACATAGCACGACATTCTCGACCTTCTCCCGCAATCGCGCGTTTCTAGCATCTTCCTAATATACTGCTCACTCTAAACCTGTAACGAGGCGTAAAGAGAAGCGGGCAGGCTGAAGTAATGTGTTCTTTCTTATTGATATCTGTGTAAAGACACTAATGGGACTTTTACTCAAACGAATATGCATCCCTGAAGTCTTCAGCCAATGAGCCTATGCTCACTTGCGATTGAAGCGCACAACCATAAACTACATGTACCTACTCTACGTACTGTCACCACATCTATCAAATCGCGCGTAGGATCCAAAAAGAATACTGACCCACTTCGATCTCCAAGTACTTCTGAAACTCGTGATAAATGAGCAGTCCAAAAGATATCCACTTGACGTACTAGGAATAGACGAATCGGGACTGAGAATCCTTGTCTGCAGATCCTCCGCTACCTGTTCGGTAGAGAGAACCGAAGGTCGCACGTTTCAGAACAAACGAGAAGTTAATCTATTCGACAACTGTAGAGTTCTCTTGAAACGGGCGACGCGTCAGCTGTCTATGAAAATCCCATACCAAAAGGTTGTCAAGACGCTGCAGAATATTGTGCTTTAACCAGGGTAGAACCAACAATTGGATGTTTACCACTATGCGAACTAAGATTTGGGATACTCTTCTCCTAACCCAATCTAGATATTGATCTTTAACTAACACAAATCGATACAATCACCGAAGGTGAAGGATACCTGTCTGCCTACGCGCGGGCGTCTGGGCCGACGGAGTGTCGTCCGGAAGCTGTCCAAGTACCTGAAGATCTAGAAGAATATCTCTTGTCTTCAGGGGCAGAGGCCAATATTCATGGCTGAACTTCAATTGATGTTGATAGGGCTGTTGATGGTGCATGGGCCTGTGGAGAGTAGGGTACCACGCATTGATTGATTGATTGACAATATCCCGTTTTCTAACCGCCAAACAATTATCAAAGTAGAAAGATTGATTGAGATCTGAAAATATATAAATCATGCTGTCTTCCTCCCCATCGCTTTCAAAATCATCAGCTCAATCAATCAGTTCAGTCCACCACCTTACACGTTCTCTCTTCACTTTCCACCTTACTTTACATTCTTTCTTGTAAGTTCAACTCCATTCAACTAGCTGAATTTGCAATTCACTTTCTAAACAATATTTCCAGACAGCAGTGCTAGTTCACTCCCAAACACTTGAAAATACCAAAACAGTCTTTCTTCCAAATTCCTCAACCAGCCAAAATGCAATTCTTCGCCGTCACCTTCACCGCCGCTCTCCTCTCCGCCCTGGTCGGCGCCGTCCCAGTTCCCCAGGCCCCCTCAGGCGCCATTCCCACCGGTGCCGCACCCACTGACATCCCCACTGGCGCCGCTCCCAGCGGAGCATTCCCCACCTTTGTCTTTCCCAGCGGTGGTTTCCCATCCGGCGCAGTTCCCTCTGGCCCCGCCCCCACTGGTGCCTTCCCCACCGGCGTCGTCCCTACCGGTGGCTTCCCCTCCGGCGCTGTTCCCACCGCTAGCGGTGTCTTCGCGCCCCAGGCATTCGGCACTGGAACTGGTGTCCCAATTGCTACTAGCATCCCAGTTGCTACTGGTGCCCCAATCGGTACTGACGTTCCTGTTGCTACTGGCGCGCCAACTGACGCTCCGGCCCCGACTGGTGCGGCCCCTAGTGGAGCTTTCCCGACTGGTGCCGTCCCGACTGGCACTGCTGGAGGTGCTGCGCCGTCTGGTGGTGCCGGACAGGGTGGTCACCACCACGGTGGACATGGTGGACGTAACTAGGTTTTGAAGGTATGTTGAGATCTCCTCATCTTTCTATATGATAGTTTACTAATGCATTGGTTTATTTATAGATTTGTTAATTGATTTAATAGACGTTACCTGACCAGTGGAGGGGTGACTGTTTTGTACTTTTACTTTTATTTTTATGGTGGGAAGATGTGGTGGTGGAGGAGCTAGCTCTTCAACTATACATTCCTTTACTTTTCTGTTAGTTAGTGTTTACTACTTTGTATAAAGGCTCTGAGAGCCGTTCAAAAATTATGCCGTACATCTATAGCGTTTTGACTCGTTGGTTATATAAATAGAGTCTTTTAGCTGCAAGAGTTGGACAGAAAGTCGATCACTTCGACAAAAAGTCCTGCACATCTTATTGGTTGAACGGCTACAAGTCTCTTCCTAAAACAGCTAGACTTTCTGTCCAACCTGCTCGACTTTCTATCCAACTCGCGCAGATAAAAGACTCTGATTTGTGGTTGAAGTGATTTAGTGTGGTGTAACATGTTCTTTTATCTCCTTTTCCAGGAATGTTTTGATCCGACTACATGTATGTATGCCCCCCGAAGAATTTGCGCATCGAATCTTTGCATAGGTAAAGAAGAACTACTATTACTCCGCTTTGACTATCTTAATTAATATAATATTGAAGCTCAGTAAGGCTGCTGTCTACTGAAGTTGTAGTGCACGTGGTAAGGAAGGAGACTAGCTAGGGCTAGGGACCTCCAGGGTCAGGACAAACAAGCTGAAGGTGCAATACCACGAACTTTTGCTTATAGTGACTCTACACTTTAAACCACAATACATCTAAGGAGAAATTGATACCACAGTTGATATCAACCCCGCTTACTAAGCAGCATGAAACCTAACCCACCTGACCACCACATCTGACTCCCTCATGGGGCTGTCCTACGAATACACGAGAGTTCCATCACAGGACGAAAAGTATTATTGGAGCTACGGCTCACGCCGGAGTCTCTTCCCGATACCGCTGACTACGTTTGATGCGATGGGATTATGACTATTAACGTTCCCAGGTGATTGATGGCGCCAGACTTTCCTTGTCGTACAGGAGTACACCCGCTCTGGATAAGAGATCACTTTTAGTGAGTGAGTCGACTGTGACTACTAAGTTTATATGATTCACCACATATCAGCAGGGCGGACCGGGGGGTTGGATCGGAAAATCGAGAATTAGGTACGGGTGGGAGGACAACTCCTCAAATCCTTAGGCCTTCCCATGGAAACAGACAGTTTTCCCGGCCCCGCGCCAAAGCTTTAGGTTTACATCGATTATAGCTATTAATATATTAACAGATTTAGTTCTATCGGGTACCAAGAATAAAATTGCCAAGTTTAGCGAGTGATAATCTATGATTATCTACTGACAAGTAAAATAGTTTTTTTGTTTTTGTTTAACTAATTTTATTATCTAGTTCTTTTGACATGTATGGAAGCTATGAATACTTACTAATCAAAACTTAAGTCATAAGGACCACTTGGTTTAGAGAGAAATCAACTTGCAGTTTACAGGTTCGAAAGTGGGCCCTTGCATATAAATCTACGTACATATCATAATAAAAAGCTATTTCTGACAAGGCCCGCCTAGCTACATATATATCTCTCATTAATGTATCACGACCCTTAGGTTAATGTAGAAAGAGAAGGAAAAGTAGATATTCTTCTCTACAAACTTTAACTTGATTAAAATTACAGTACAATTCTTCTCGGGCGGCGAGAATAAATAGTTGGCTTGCGATCGATGTGCAAGCTACATCTGACAGGAAAATTCGTAATAATTCCAACGCATCATGGTGAGCGTTTAAATCTCACATCAAAGGAAGCTTTCACTAGCTTGCTCACCTACCCCAAGCTAGGTAGCAATCAACTAGGAAGCAAATGGAACGGGGAAGAGAATGGGGTTATACATGGGACAAGACTTCGGGACCCATCGAGAAAGAAGAGGAGTAATATATATCAATAATTGCAAATGCCGCTCCGAGGATCTAGGTATATTATGCGTCCTCTAAGAACGAGAATAAGCGAGGAGGAAAAAAAGACAAAAATTATCCAAGTTCTAGCAAGGTATCTACTCTAACAGTTCAGTGTAGCCAATAGGCAGGTTAGTCGGTCGATCAAACGTTTGGGTCTCAATGCAGGGGTAGGGGCCGGCGGCCAATTAGTAGTTATAGTTACGTATACATATATATATACAATATATAGAGGTTAAGGATACATGTACTTATCGTGGCGATCGATCGAAGAGGGAAGCCAGCACAGTATTTAAGGAGATTCTCTCCGAACCTCCTAATCAAAGATACTTCTCTTCGAATTACCTCCTACACTCAATACGAATGAATATCCCTTTGCAATTTGGCAAGTTTTCTTTTTTTTATTTCTCTAGAAGCGCATATGTCTTCAACATTTATCATTACAAATAAGGTCATTTTTTACATTAGAAAGAGTTGGTTATTCGCACACTACCCACCCAGTCTCTAGACCAGGTAGGGCCACCCCTTAGAGTACTTTATCTCGTTCCACCCCAAGTACTTGTCCTCATCGATATAGCTAACCCTATTATCAACTACAGATTCTAGTTAGCACCGAAAGTTACCCAGTCAATCAGAGCGATACAACTTACCGTAGTGATAGTAGAGAATGTCCTTCTTTCCATCAACGAGGACACCCTGTCCACCAGGTCCATACAACCAGCCGTGGCTACCGAGGATAACATCACCACCGCCATTAACCATGTCCGTGCCATTGCGGTCCAAGAAGGGTCCGTCGATGGTCTTTGAGCGCCCGACTTTGATCTTGTACCTAATTACCCACACACATCAGCAACCACCCACAACAGCACAAGAGAAGAAGGGGGGGGGGGGGGGGGGGGTTGACATACTCCTCACCAGCAGCCGGCATACTAGCATTATACCCACAGCAGTATCCGTGACTGACAAACAAATAATAGTAACCAGTCTTGCTCGCATAATGGATAAACGGCCCCTCAACCGGATTTGGCGATACAGGATCATACGCAAGGTGCTTTGGCACCGCACCCTCCTCAATCCCATCCATCGCCTTGTTCAATGGGAACCCCCATATGTTAGTCCAGAAGGAACCATACGACATGTACGGCTTTCCGGTCTTGGCATCAAAGAGGACAGCCGGGTCAATGGCGTTTGTGATGGTCCAGGGCTCAGTCGCATTAGGGTAGTCGTCGAGGTCGTAGGAACGGACTACCTCACCATGGTCGGTCCATGAGCCTGGAAGGAGCGTCTTGGAGGTTGCGAGACCGATGGCGGAGTTTTGGGCGCCGAAGGTAGAGACTGAGTAGTAGCAATGGAAGGTGTCTCCTACTTTGATAACATCGGGAGCCTGGAGGGTGAGTTGTTGTTAGCGACTGAACTATCCGCCTGATGTGAGGGTCATTAGCTTACCCAGATGTCGTCACGGCCTGGGAGCTCAATGAGGCTCTGGCCGGCGTCAAGTACACTACCGAGATGCTTCCAAGGCCCGTAGAGAGTTGGAGAGCGGGCAATCGTGACGCGAAGATGGGTCCCGAAGGAGTAGTACCACCCATCGTGCTTCACGACACTAGGATCATGAATGTGGACAGTCCCCCAGCCATCTGTATCTCCGAAGATCTGCTCGATATTAGAAGATGAAGACCAGCAAGACCAGAGGTCTATAGAGAACATACCTTAGCAGGATATGGCCAGTTCGACGACAAGAAAGGATCTGTGGCGCTATCATCCTTCGTCGGCGCGCCCAAAACTGCTGTAGCAAAACACGCCAGGGCCGTCAATTGCATACTCGGGATTGAAAACAACATCTTTGTTCGTGTCGTCGGATGATCGGTCTAGCTATAGAGCTCGAGGGTGATACTCCAGCAACAAATACCGGACGATCAAAGAGGTTTATATACCCCCAAATCTCACGAACTAACCTGAACTACAACCCATCTCATCCCCGCCAAATTTAATAAATATATCATCCAGTTGCCTGGTTTTTTTTTCCTGCGGTCTTTATTCATCCGGGTTCGCGAGGTGGGGATAACAACACGAGAATGGGGGAATCTGGGGTTGGATTGCAAGATTTTCCGAGCTTCTAGCTAGATAACTAGCTAGGCCGTACGGAAAATCTCATGAGATGAGGTATCAGGGGTACATCTGTAAGGATTCTAGTCGGCTAAATAGATAGCCAACCGAGCGAACGAGCCTCGCGTTGCCCATTTTTGCGGGGTATACGCACTCCACGTGCTGTTCTGGGGAAGTTGAAGGGGGTAAAAGTCAGGTTCTGGGGAATGGAGAACTGGGGAAACCTGGGAAAACCTGGGAAAATATTGGATGATAATACTCTAAACTTTCTACTGGATCCAGTGGCGAATTGCGTGTTTTTTGGAATTTCAAGGTTGAGTATTTTTATCTGGAGAAGGTCTACACGCGTAATATGGTGAACCCTTCAACGACGTTTTGATCCTATCTCTAGTTGGAAATGGAAATGATCGTACAACTGATTTAGATAAGATAAACTTCAACAGCAACACTACAAGAGCAAAACTACTATTATCTACACCATATCGAGACAAACTAAGTACTGACTTGCTGGCTGGTAGCAAGCTATGCCTCATAACAAATACATTCGGTAAAGAGTTCTCCGATAATTCATTAAGGAAAGCTCGGCATCCACAAGTTCATCTAATACGGCTAATTACGGACGCCACTTCGGTGCCTCCTCGGCCCGGTCTCTAGAGGATTTAGCTTGATTCCGGGGTTCGGGGTTCGGGACTCCCCGTTTAGCCGCTACTGTGTCTGTCTGTCGGCCGATGACATGTGTTTGGGTTTTTAGTTGTCACACCCGTCACGCTTGGTCGTACCGGTACACGTCCTAGTAACAAGTGCCGGCGTGACACCCTGCACAACCTTTACTATTCACGGGTACCACTGCCGGAATCTCATCTCTAGTCTGAAGATTCGTTTCTCTTCCAGATCTAATAAGCATTTGAAACACGACTTGACGCATTAATGATCTATCATCCATGTCTTCTTCACTTTCAAGTTCTGCCGCTTGGCTAAAAGATGAAACGGGACGTCCAATAAGAATATCAGAAACAAATCTACGGCTTAGAAAATAAATCAAAACACCCGTCATACCATATGGACAAAGAAGATTGCTCCCTTTCTTGCAACCAGTCTGACAACACATGAAGTCCGACTTGATACTCAACATGTAGACTCCCGAAACCTATCAAGGGCCCTTGATCGAAATAGCAAGTCTACGTCTACATCCGTACATCTACATATATACTCAGTGGACTAAAGATCCTGAAACCAAAGTACCGATATACACGTGACGGACCGACACCACCCCCGAGCCCACTCCGCCCAACCGCAACCCCATCACCGACCAGCCACCTCCGATACGTCGCCGGCGGGGCCTAAGCCGCGCATGTCGGGCCCTTCTACCCGCCTCAAAAATAGTCCTCACCCACACACCCCACACACCACCATTGGTCCGGCTAAAACCCCATCACGCACCACACCCACTTTCCCCCCATGCCCTGCCCTGCATCTATATGAGCTTTGCCTTACTTCACCCTTCTATACCGATCCGATCGAATCTCGATTCTGGCACGGTTGTGTGATTCGTTGCGAATGCTTGGAATCGAATCGGTCGTTAGTGGTTTTGTGATATTGAGTATGATACCTAGCTGACATGACCCCCCTTCCCCCGAACTGACATAACCCCCCGAACTGACATGACGGACCGGACCGGGCACAGCGCCCCCGGACGTAATAGTAGTAGAGGCAGTCTATCCATCTATCTAGACTCCGCTATCATCATCACCAACGTTCTGTGATAGCTATTATATTATAGTGGTAATAATAATCAATAAAACAAGGCTCTGCGCGGTTCGATCCAGTTTTGAGCAGTCAGATATCAGAACTCAATAATTAATTCCTCTCTTATGATGACGCCGGATTGACTGGCCGTCACCGTCATACAATAGGTCATAGTTAGAGGTAGGTAGTTCGAGGTAGCTGATATCGTCGCAGCTATAGATTCGTTCACCCACCAGTCACCCACCCAACCAAAACCAAACACCAAACCACCACAGATCCCGCTATCAACATGCCGTTTTCAAAACCTACCCAACAACCCACAACCTCACCACACTACACTCTGAAACTTCCCTTCCGCCTGGCCACCTGCCATGCCACCTCCCCATTCCAAATCCAAATACGGCGACATGTAAACTACCTCTCCCTCTCATCGCTCCAAACGCTCCTCCATCGGTCCTCTGATCGTAGCATTACTTTTGTTGTTGTTGCAAAACTCTTGTACCATGTCTCGTGTCTTGATTGTGCGTGGAATCTAAAACACGACCACTTGCCCGATCCGGAAGGGCTAAGAAACCCTAACCCTATGCACGCTACAGCACTTTTTCTCACGATGGATGGGTGAAGTAAGACTAGCGTAGAGAACTGGCTCCTCGGAGAAGAACGGGGTGGATGGACCCCTATGCTAAGTGGCCCCTTGACGAACGAGCCTACGGAGCGAATAGCGGGGACGAGATGGGGGAGGGAAAGCCGGGAATCTTCAACCCCCCGCGCCGACGCTAGAAAATTCCAGCGGGAAGGAGAGTCTGGGCAGTGAGAGTCTAAGGTATCTAAAGTAGTGGAGTTTTCATATCCTTGTCACAATCCCACATCTACAGCGATATCGTCACCAAGGTTTAAAAGTAAAATTAAAGGTTTTTTCACAACACAATTTGAAGCTCTTTTTCAAAGAAGGGTTTTTTTTTAGTTTTTATCGAATTCTCATGTTCGATTACCGTGTGTGTGTTTCTATTCATACAAAAACAATAACCATCGTTCTTTCGTTCTCATCATGACAATAAAACTGTCCTCCCCTGCCAGGAAGAAGCACCAAAAAAAACAAAAAGAATAACCGACACAAAACTAAAAGTATGTAAAAGAAGTCCAGCAAAAAAACCGCTGTTTAAGAAGTGAATGCAATCGTGAAGTGAAAAGAAAGAAAACCCATTTGAGACCCCCATCCCCCCCTTATTCCTTTGCCCGTAAAAACCCATACAAAAGAAAGTTATAATAATAATAACGAAGAAAAAAAACGCCCAAAATGATACGCCCGATAAACCCCCAAATAAGTACCCAAAAACGAATGTGATAGTAGTAGTCTATCAGGAAGACTCGGTGGTGGCAATGAGCGGCGATTCTGAAAACTCCTTGCCCTTGATGGTGCTAACGAAAGCTCTAGTGACGAAGGCATGCCAGATCTTGTCTTTCTTAATGTTGTGGTTGTGCTTCCTCTTGTTGTCTCTGTTCTTCTTCTTCTTTGAGGCGTCTACATCCTCGCCTTCCTCTTCTACATCTTCTACCTCCTCCTCTTCCTCTTCGTATTCCTCGACGTCAGTGCCATCAACCTTTTCGCCAGCCTTCTTCGTCTTCCGGCTGTCTCTAAGGGTGGCATCGACAATCTCTTGCGCGAGCTTCAAGTAGTTCTTGACCGTCATGTCCTTCAAGTTGTAGGTCTTGTCGGTTCTAGTATTGTACTCGACCTGGTATCTAAATTCGCGGTCCTCGACATCTCTGAGCTCAAGGTTCTTGTGGTGTGCCTCCGCCTCATCCTCCTCCTTCTCCGGCTGCCTTCCATTGATCCTGGTCATGTTGGCATAGTACTGAGTGTATCCCAACCATGTGAATGGCTGCATGGAGTAAGCGGGGCCGGGGGGAGAAGTCTTTGATGGTCCGTCTGGGACACCAGGTTCCTTCTTCTTCTTCTTTGTGACAGTTGCTGTGGTGGTGTCGACATCGTCCTCAATTGGGCCAGGTCCGAGTTCGTTATCGTTTTGGGACTCACCAAGACCGGTGATGTTGTACTCGACCACTCTCAATGTCGGGAAGTAGTTGGGAACGACGCTGGGTCCGACGAGCGAGAGAATGTAGCGCTCACCCCATTTGCCGCCAATCTTCTTTGAGTAGCTGCGGCTTGCGGCTTCGACTTCGTCTGCGCTGGAACCGACCACGTTAATGGGACTGGGGAGGTATGAGAAGGCCTCGCGGAGTGAGTGAAGGTAGGTCTCGGCATTCGATGCGGTGAATGTAGGGTTCTCCTCGTCGAATTGCATGACCTCATCTTCTCGCTCTGGTTCCTCCTCTACACAGCTCGGGTGTCCGGTGCAAGAAACCTTGGTCTTCTTTCTCGGCTTCTTGGGGCGTCTGATCTCATCCTCGTGTGGAGGCTCGAGTTCGTCACTGTCGTGAAGCAAGAAATGATCGAGATTCATGTGGCTAAACCGGATATGTTAGCCAAAAAAGGTTTTCTTTGCTATATCGGGGAAATGATCGACATACCCATAAATAGAGCCAACAATGACATCGCGGTACTGCTTAGACCACAAAACATATTTCTTCCAGCATCTGAAGATCTCCGTTAGTTTGATGTTCCTTGTGTCGCAGCGGGTATGTGGTGGCAGCTTACGTTTCATCCCAACTTTGCTTGGTGCTTGTCCAAGCTGGTGGAACGTGCCCGATCAGGATTGCCTTCATGCCGATGTCACGCATCAACGCCAACTGGACCTTCAGCCACTCCATCTGCTCGTAACCGGCCTCGCCCTTGACATCGCATCCATCAACTGCCGCGTTAGATCCAAAGAAATAACTGGAATCTCAACGTTAGCCAGCGAACAGCAAAATCACCGCAGGGAAAACCCTATGAAACATACATTGTGTTGAGGGAAATGACCGAAAGTCCACCCTGACTGCCCAATCCCATCTTTCCATTCGTTCCGGGAACAACCTGAGTCCAGAAGTACGCTCCCTTGTCAAACACGTGGTACTGGTCCTGTGGGATAAACCTGCGCCAGATGTCCGAGTACTCCCTGGTGACCCTGTTTGGGCCGGCCGTCATGATGTTGTGCGGGAAGATGTCATTGTTTCCAAGGGTCGGGATGATTGGCACAATCAGGTCGTTCGTCGGGTCGTCATCACCAAGGTTATCGGGCTTTCCAAATACCGCAAACATCTTGTCCGAGATGCGACGGTTCAGGTCAAGGATCTGGATTTCCGAACGAGGGATATTGGCATCGTTGTCGTGGCGCGCTGAATCGCCGGTCCAGATAACAAAATCAACCTCCTATTGTAATGTGTCAGTTTTTTTTTATTTCATTCTCGGTAGTTGCGGGATTTAGGTATTTTTTCCAAAACGTACATCCTTCAGGTTCTCCTCGATCCACTTAAACGTCGCATTCACCAGCGTGAATGGCGTATCACAATCCGAAGTCTCAGCGCCAAGCGTAGCGGCATTGCCCGAACCGCGGTGGCAACGCTGCATAGGATCTGATCCGGCAACATAGAACGGATCTGGGTGTACATCTACGCAAAAACACAAAGTCAATATATACAATACAACCCCAAAAACCAAAGGTGCGCAGAGTATGGGGGAACAAAGTTTGCTCACCTGAGATGTGAAGAAACCTCCCCTTGAGTTTCTTTGGCTGCTCCTGGTTCGTCTGGATCACTTGCTGCTGCTGGGCAGCATTTGGCAAGTTCTCGACGTGCGCCGAGGGCTGGTTTTTTACGGGGGAGGACTTTGTCGACGGGGCTAGAAGACAGACTGCAAACGCAGCAATGGCGGCGGTGGAGGTGGTGAACCGCATATTGGAATTAAATTGGCCCTAGCCAGGCACGGTAGATGGCAAAGGTAGCAAGAATATGGAGAGAGGAAAGAAAGCTAAGTGGAAAAAAAAGACGATATCTAGATGGCAGGACAGGAGATGTGAGGTGAGGAATGATGGAGGAAATAAAAAAATAATCTGAGGGAAAGGAGCAGGAAGAAATAGTAAGTCGAGATGGCGGGGAGGAGTAAGAAGATATATATCAAAAATACATGGCCATCGAGGTAGAGTAATAATAGGAATAGGATATGGATAAATAACCGCACTATCAGGTTAACACGGGAATCAGCAAAAGTGCTGTGTATCGGCTGACGGTGTGATTGGCCAGGGATTGGAAATATGGAGGGGAGGAGGAGCAGGAGGAGGAGGAAGAGAGCGAGTGAGAAGGGTCGAGAAAGAGAGCTAGGAAGGCAAGGTGTCCGCAAAGGTGGGATGTATGGATGGATGGATGGATGGATGGGCGCTGTTGGCTTGAAAATTATTGGAGATGTGGACGAGCTGCACCCTGCTCTGTGCTTAACTAAACTAATACTGTCGGCGCTAGCTTTGCGCTCAACCAGCTCAACTTCAAAAAACCTCTCTTTGCTTGCTTCCGATATGCCTCCAGATGCAAGTGAGGACCCTGATGGCTGGGACCCTCCCACATTGAAATTCCCTCCCACCCACCCACCCACACCTCTCCTCTCCCCCCCCCTTTCTATTTTCATTTCCACTTCCCCATCCATCCACACATCTGCGGGGCAAAACCTGGGATGGAGGGGCAGCAGGCCAAGGCAAGAACGAACGAAAGGGCGACGCAACGCAACGCACGCACAAAAACGTCCGCCGCCACATCCAGGTCTCCCAAAAGTAGCAGTCAGTTGGGGGTTACCACCGTGACACTTCCAAGACACACGCGACACGTTCCTATATCTCGAGTCTGACTGGCTCTCCATATCCCCTTTCACAAAACCTGAAAACTGAAGTTCGCTCCCGAGACAGCTGGGATATGCGAAGGCATGTATGTAGTGAGAGTATGTAAGCAAAGACAGGCAGGCAGGTAGGCCGTTCATTCAGGGTGCAGGTCCCCTTTGATTGGCCCGTGGCGACAGACAGACAGGGTTATGACGTAGTTTCGCTACTAGAAGAGTGAGTGAGATCAAAGAGCCTCTCCCGACTCTTCTCTCGCCATTCCATATTATTCTCCCCCTCTTTCTCCCCAGATTATGGCACCCTCTCTCTCTAATTCTTCCCCGTTGACTTGCTTCATGACTGTGCAAGATGAATCTTTGGCAGAGAGCGTCATCTCCAGAGTCAGACAACCCTCAGCCTTTCCCCGGTCCGGTCATGAGTTCCGGCCTATTGCAAATAGGTAAAACTGGAGATCTTGTTTATCACTTGCCTACATACCCGAGCAGATACGTCAAACATCGACAACGAACGAGGAGAGGTAGAGGTGGGGTAGATGTACATATTTCCTCTACTCTAGCAGCAGCAGCAGCAGATAATCACAAAATTATAATGAAAATAATAGCTCTCTCTCTTCCTTCCTATCCGCTCTCCTCTTTGGCTTGATGATCAAGAAACTAAAAGTGCCTGCTCTGTTGATCACACCCACCCCACGTACACATGCGCGCAAACCGGTGGGAAAAAAAAGAAAAAAAACCAAAATTAAAACCTCCCAAGTTCTACGGATGGACGACGGAGGAGCGCAAAAGGAGCTGATGCAGTGAAACTGTCTGTAACTGTCGCTCTCTCACTGACCTTTTTTTTTACTTTTGTTCTCGCGGAGCGTTGTCGTCGGCCCATCCATCAACATGCTGCGGTGGTCTCGTGCGGCTACATGATGCTGCTTTGCTTTGCTTGCTTGCTTGCTTGCGCCGCGTATGAACCCCCGCATCCCAAGGGATGGGGCACCACCCACCCCTACCTACTCTACTCCCACCCTACCCACCACACACATACACACACCCTTGAGCCCTCCTCACCCATCCAAAAACTCCAGCGAGATCGGGGCGTTGCGCTCTCGATAATCTAGCATCTTTTTCTGCGATAGATTACTCGCAGTGCATTTCCCTAGCCAACAGCATTCTCCCGGTAGGGTAGGGGTTGGGGGGGGGTGAGCGATATAGTGAGAGGAAAGAATGGTTAACTTAGATCCAGAGAGGAACGACCGATACCGGTGCTAATTGACTTGACTGTGGTGATTATTGTGATATATCTGTTCTGTTTGTTGTTGGTGATGATTATGGATTATGTCGGCCGGCGGAGGGAAAGGGGGAGAGGGAGGGAATGGACAGGATGGGTGGATGGTGGATGTAGAGTACTGTACCTAGAGTACTGTACTCCTATCTTTAGATTGCTTGGTTGCTTTCTTTTTCTTGCCTACTTCGTGAGCGTAGAACAGAGAATGTAGATGCCGGCGCGCGGGGTGCAAGAGTCGTGATGTAAGGCTAGGTATGTCTGTCCGTCACGCCCTCTCCTCCACCTCCCTGAGTAAGTACATATGCCGCCGTATCCAGCTGTGTCCGTCCTCTTCCCAAAGGAAAAAAACAATCCGACCCAACCGCAAGTGACGCCACTCCAAACCCACACCTCCTCCATCCAGAAGGTCTTGACATCACGATAAATCCGCTCGCTATTTATCACCGGTATCACGTTCCGTCAACATAAGCTTTTCCACAGACACTCTCGTCTCGTGCCCGCCGCCCACTCACCCCCGTGCCCCCCGTAACACTTGTCCCCGCCGAACTAAAACCCAGAACCAAGTACAAGACAAGACACGAAACCGCTGTAACATAGCACCCGAAACATTTCAGAACCCAGCTTAACAATTGCAACCATAAACAAAAAAGCCTCCCATGCATCAATCAATCAATCAATCAATCAATCAATCAATCAAGCATGCCAGCGAGAAAAGGAACGAAAGCAATTAATGTATATCAACCAAGTGCTAACCAAGCTGTGGTAGAGGTACCGAGTGCACAGCGTGCAGAGCAATGCAGAGTCGAGGAGTATGTAGGTACCGACATACACCACACCGGGCGGAATCGAAATCACGAGCTCACCGCTTGCCTACATTGACTTGACTGTTCGGGCACGGCGGTTCGGCGGGTTGGTGGTAGAGTACCTTTAGGTCGGCGTGATATAACTAGGCACTTCCTAGATGCAAATGTTACAATTGTACAGAATGCGCATCCCGTCACTCGATTTCTACCTCTATTCAATATCTACTATTCTACCCTACCCTGCTATTCTACTTATCATTTCAACCGAGCAGCGTTACATCTTAGTACCAATGGTCACGCCCCACACCTAGCGTGACACCCCACATTTCCTTTTTCGCCCCTCTCGAGCCCCTCCACGCCAAAACAGGCCGCCGCCGCCGCAAAAGAAAACAGATCTCCCAACCCTGCATACGTTCGCCTTGCCTGTAACATGACGAGTCGATTTCTGCTTTTTCTTTTTTTCCCGCAGGATTTCAATAGGCACTGAGACGGCAGGCGAGACTTGGCGCTTGACGCAATGGGGTAGGCAGACACACGACCCAGGGGGAGCTGCGCGGGCGGGCAGCGCAGCATAGAGTAGAGGCAAGCGCGGCGGGCGCTGCTGGCTGGGTTGATTGCAGGTTGTAGTTATATACAGTTACCTTTGGTCAAAGTGTGACGATTCTACCGAGATGGGTACTCTACCAGTATTTGGAGGATGTTTCCTTTTTTGTCGCGGGAGGCGCGGGGTTGGGGTAAGCAAGTACATAGCTACTAGCAGTTGGCCACCTCGCCAGGGCGAAGTGTGAGCTTGAATGTGATCAAATTTTGGGAAGGGCGGTTGGATGTGGTGAGTCCGGTTTTTACAGTACCGATGCCAGTGCCAGTGAGCTGAAAGTATGTGTAATTTAATGGAGTTTGCTTTAATATAAACTTCCAGAATTATATTGCATAGCTATTGCTACCTAGTGTAGTGGTTTAAATGTCTTACATATGTCGAAGTGCTTGATCTGGACGATCGACAGCTGTTTGACCTGGAAGTAACTCTGCAACGATTTCCGACCATTTAGGATTCGCTGTAAATGTGATGAAAAGTGAAGGTCTTCCGAAGTGTCTTACGATAGCCATTGAATCCTGGTATAATTATTGCATATAACGATCACCACCGCTATAGCTGCTAGGAAGTATTATTCTCCGTCCGGTTTGTTCTGGATTGAAGTCTTCTTGAAGCATAGCATCGGCCAGGCCATTATACAAATCGGATCGTAGTCTTGATTGATTCAAACGTATCCAATTTAGTTTGTTCTGATCACATACAGCCCATGCGTCAACCAAATATTGCTGAAAAAGGTTTTGAGATTGAAATAGTGTTAAAGGCTCGGTTGAATGTGAATGAATATGATAGCTTTGTAATAAGTTAGTAATGATTTCTATGATAATATATTAAACATACCGATAAAATTCACGTTGACCTAAACGCAATACTTTCCGATTATTCAATCGATCTCGAAGTTGTAAACTCCAATGCCAACCGGTATCCCTATTTGGAAAAAGCAATACGTAATGCAATGGCATATACGCAGCATGGTTAGGATTGATGATACTGAACATTTGATTTGGCAATGGATTTCTATGTGCCAATACGATATCACGGAATCCAGCTTCTTCATATTCATCAGGAATTATTACCGCCACCTCGTTACTTGTAGGAAAGTTGTTTCGTCGTTTGTCTGCTCCTGTTTCAACTATCAATTGAAGACGTGGATTAAGTATAATGCGTGCATTCCCATCTTGTGTTGAAGCATTATCCAATCTTTCTTTTGCTGTTTTATAAAATTCAATAAACGGATTTATTGAATTTAACTCCATGGTGAGACGTTGAAGTACCATAATATCTAAAGTTGGATGTGTTGCATGTTGTACTTGTGCTGAATATTCTGGATCGTAGAAATATAGTTGGGCGAAGGAAGGAGTTGCTCCGATTGCTGGTGTAACGGGGACTGAGGACGTAGGAAC